GAGCTCGTTGTTGACATTTTACTGTTGTTCGATTGCTCTTTTCAGATTGTATTACGAAGTTACTTAATTGCATTAAAAATTGCAACAATATACACTGCATGTACCTACTTACTTTTTCGCTAATTAAGCTGACCTCCTAAAATTTCCAATTTATATTATTGCATAACTTGTAAGTGACTTGAGGAGTTAATGAAGGAAGGAACATGTGTTTAAAGCAACGATCCCAAAACAAAGTAACAACTATTTTCTATACCTACTAAAAAGGCTGCTGAAGAGTAGGTACCTTTGAAAAGCATGTTTCCGGTCCACGGTCATAGATAACAGAAAAAAAGCATTAATGAGTGATGTGCGTGAAAACCTAAGAAACAAATATGATAATATATATAATTTTTATTATTTTTAAAGCATGTAACTGCTTGATGTTTAAATCTAAAGAAAATATAACTAGAAAAAATTCCACGCGGACCAGGCAGCAGACGGGACTCGAACCCGCACCCTTCGCAATCCGGGCGAATGCACTGACCAATTTTATTATGCTACCGCGGCCCTCACGGACCGCGTCGAAATTCTTTCTAGCTATTCTTAAGCTGCAAGGCAGCGCCATCTCTTCGCATTATAGGTAAACCCACAATGTCAAATGAATACTTTTACAAGTATTAAACATTTGAAAGAAGAAATAGCAATTATAGTTATAATTTTTATTATTTTTAAAGCATGTAACTGCTTGATGTTTAAATCTAAAGAAAATATAACTAGAAAAAATTCCACGCGGACCAGGCAGCAGACGGGACTCGAACCCGCACCCTTCGCAATCCGGGCGAATGCACTGACCAATTATGCTACCGCGGCCCTCACGGACCGCGTCGAAATTCTTTCTAGCTATTCTTAAGCTGCAAGGCAGCGCCATTTTTGCAGAATTTTTTCTAGTTATATTTTCTTTAGATTTAAACATCAAGCAGTTACATGCTTTAAAAATAATAAAAATTATAACTATAATTGCTATTTCTTCTTTCAAATGTTTAATACTTGTAAAAGTATTCATTTGACATTGTGGGTTTACCTATAATGCGAAGAGATGGCGCTGCCTTGCAGCTTAAGAATAGCTAGAAAGAATTTCGACGCGGTCCGTGAGGGCCGCGGTAGCATAATTGGTCAGTGCATTCGCCCGGATTGCGAAGGGTGCGGGTTCGAGTCCCGTCTGCTGCCTGGTCCGCGTGGAATTTTTTCTAGTTATATTTTCTTTAGATTTAAACATCAAGCAGTTACATGCTTTAAAAATAATAAAAATTATAACTATAATTGCTATTTCTTCTTTCAAATGTTTAATACTTGTAAAAGTATTCATTTGACATTGTGGGTTTACCTATAATGCGAAGAGATGGCGCTGCCTTGCAGCTTAAGAATAGCTAGAAAGAATTTCGACGCGGTCCGTGAGGGCCGCGGTAGCATAATTGGTCAGTGCATTCGCCCGGATTGCGAAGGGTGCGGGTTCGAGTCCCGTCTGCTGCCTGGTCCGCGTGGAATTTTTTCTAGTTATATTTTCTTTAGATTTAAATGATAATATATACTTTGACAGTGCGGGCTGCCCTTCTGTCCGCGACCGTGCGTGTTGTTCTATGCGAGGTAATCTTTCTTAATGGACACCGGGTTTTTATATATATATGATTGTTTTAAGTACCAGTAAGTTACGTAATTTCTTAGTTAGCAAAACAAGGGTTAATGTATTCCGATTGTTTATTCTTTATTGAGATGATTTTGAGAAGTTGAAGGCTGGGTTTTCAGCCTTGAAATTAGCTAATCGAATCGCCAAGTTTTTTCCAATTAAGTTCCATTACGGACGGTATGGCGGATTCCTAGGCGAAAATAATGTAAGATTTTTTCCGTCAAAACCTAGCGAAGCAGTTAGCTAGGCTGCTAATGCTATATAGCATGCCCATATATGGGCAGGGCAGCTATGTTGGCCACCATTGATGCGTGGCGCGGGCGGTGGCTGTGGAGTTAGGTTTTAAGGTTTTTTTGAAGTTAACTTCTTTAGTATCGTTGTGACTTGAGATTGGATGAAACGGAAGTAGAGTTTTTGACACAAGATACCTATTCGTAATTTTATCATTTTCTGTACGAGACAGATAGCCGAACGGCATCGGTCTTGGGGTCGACATCAAATGATCGGTGGTTTCGATCCTGAGCTAGGTTATTTTTTAATTGTTTTATTTTTTTTCTTTTACTAAGCTATTATTTATTTTCCGAAACAATTAAAGTACAGAATATTTAAATTTGTACAGTATTTTACAGTAACTGCATAGTAATGTATTAAACGTTTGGTAGGTGCCGAAGTAGTTTATTAATACAGGCTTGGTTTTTATCAACAATCCTTACCTTTCCAGTGTTTGCAATATTTTTACAGTATCTTTTATTAATGACTTTTTCAAAAAAAAATTATAAGAACAACATTACAAAGGAAATAAAAATAAAAATAGCTGGTAACGGGGGAAGGTTTTAGGGGTTTAAAGCTCAGGTCACAACACTAACCTAACCTAACCCACTTATCACGAATCTGTCGTACGTACGTACCTAATTATTCTTTAGTCATTCAATTGAATGTCGTCATTCGCGCGCTAGTCTTTCAATCAAATAGCAGATTCAACCAGATGACTGCGATATAAATACATACACTAGCATTTATAAGCATGCGTGCTTTAAATTATCTATCCTTTAAAATAGTTTGCTCTAAATTTCCAAGATGGAGCGTGCGATCGCACGCAGACATCATTTATTTTAGTACATGTATTACAATAAAAGATGTCTAAGTAATCTTAAAATCAATAAATAAATCTTATTTTTGTTTGCGAAAAATTTAACTTAAATTAAAAAGTGTAGTAATTATAATTTTATTTTTTAAGCATGTAACTGCTCGATGTTTAAATCTAAAGAAAATATTACTAGAATGAATTCCACTCGGACCAGGCAGCAGACGGGACTCGAACCCGTATCCTTCGCTATCCGGGCAAATGCACTGACCATTATACTACCGCGGCCTTGATGGCCGTGTCAAATTCTTTCTAGCCTTTCTCAAGCTGCAAGGCAGCGCCATCTCTACGCATTGTATCTACAAACAAACCCACAGAAAAAAGAAAAGAAATGCTAGAAAGAATTCGACGTGGCGCTTCGCACCTCAAACTAAACCCTCGTTGGTAATCGATCACTTTCTCCTCTCGGTAAACAATGTACTATTTTCGTAATATGGTTCGTGTTTTCGTGAGGTAGTCTTCTGTTGTAACGGTTTTTTACAAATATTTTTAACTTCGTCCTAACCGAGGGTTCTACGACACTTAAGTTTGCTTTTTCTTTTTATAATACTTACTTAAAATGTACAAACAATCTGCGAACGATACCTCACGACGACGTCTAATGGCAGACGATCTTAACATAAGTTAGTACGTTTCGTAGCGTATGTAAATTAGAGCAGACGTTAGCCAGCAAACATTGGGTGAATTAATGTCTCCTTGTTTAAGTCCCTTGGGGAGAACTTACTCAAGTCGTAGGAAGACTGGGTTTCAGATTAGCTGTTTGCACCAAAATAGGTAGAAATACTTAAGTACATCTTTATTTATCGCGTACATCGTGTTTGGACTTTATCACCACATAACATCAGGTGGTGTAGAGTCATTTGCCTACCTGGCTATAAAAACAAAAACATTACCTGTAGGCCCTTAGCGTCGACTCGAGTAAGAATATAATTTTAATTTTACCGTGTCGAACCATACAGACTTTACAATTTCTTCTTCATTGTTGTTTATTCCTATCTCCTTTCTTTTTGTGTACCTTTCTATTATAGGTTTATTCAGTACCCTCTGACCATGTTCCATAGTAACAATTAAACTTCTTCTAAATGACTGGATTACCATATCTGCCTCTTTCTGTGTTCTGAACTCATTTCGGTGAATTTTTTTGTGTGCATTCGAGGAACTCCATGCCCCCTACCATTAACACCGCGATAAGATATATAAGGCGTATTTATCATGCTTAATTTTCAAATTTCTTACTATGGAGTTTAACAGTTAGACGCGATAAAAACGTGATGTAATGTAAATTGTAGTGCTCATGCTAAGGGGCTGGATGCCTAGTTCGATTAGATTTATCAGAACAGAATTTATAATATCTTTCTCCGAAAAAAGTTTCAGTAACTAACGAATTTTAAAGTGAAATTCGCAAGTGACTCTATTTAATTTTCGTACATTGACATAAAATGGATATTTTCGGGTACGGAACCCAAAAGGTAAAAACGGAACCCTATTGCTGTCACTCTGTCTTTCTGTCCGTATGTCACGGGTCTTAAGATCGTAAATTGAATGAGTTACGAAGAACTGAAACTCTGTTATTTTATTTATAGTGCTTGTCTAAAACTGATTATTTAGTTAAAATTCAAATAAATAATTTTTCATGCTGAGTCCCATACATGACAAGGAGATGAAATTTATTTTTCTTGTTAACCCCAGCATCATTGCCTAGAGCTCTTTGAGTAGGTTTTTTATTATTATTTTCAATAACAGAAATGGGGCCATCAAAGTTGTCAATTTTTGTTACGAAATTTTGGTGCATACCTAAAAGGCCGATTCATTATGTATTTTGTTGACGAAAACAAACAAATTATTTTTACTAAGCCGGGTACTCATTAGCGAGCTGTAACCGTAACATGCGTGATACAGTACGAGGTTCTAGTGTGTACGCTTGTAGCTCAGTTGTAAACGTCGGCTCGCTGCAAACCGCACGCGTACCGCTCGTAGCAGGTTAGCGAACCATGTACACACTATGATTTTTGGTTACAGTGCATGCAACGGTTACGGTTACAACTCGCTAATGAGTAACCGGCTCTAAATGGTTGCCAAAAACCAAAAAGCATCCACACCCAAATAAAGGTTTAACGTTCCTACCAACGACGAAATTGCTAAATACATAAAATTTCTACGGGGTAAAAAGGGAAATTTGTGAAAATAAAACACTTATTTAGTTGTATTAGATATTTTATTAGCAACTTCTCTATCTAACACTGTTTAAACAATATACACAAGACGATATCCGTACAAACGTAGACATGAATTCAATGATCAATAGAAGTTAACAAAAGCTCTCCTTTCGCTGAAAATTAATTATGATCTTACACTATCGTAAAACAGTAAATAGTACATTATTAATAAAATTAGATGACGCTTATCTTGATCATATAATTTAACTGGGTTCTGAAACTATTTTCCTGACAATCCATTTCATTAAGCACAATAATGCTTGTAAGCAAATAATACAAGCGCTTACTCATTTAATGATAAACGAGTATAAACTTACACTTGACGCAATGTTTCATTTGTTTTTCTCTGAATCGAATGTTCGCGAACATCCTAGGGATTTTGCGAAAAAGGGAAATAATAGGACAATGGCGATGGCGTTGCTCAAACTTGTCAAGGATTTTTTTTCTAGCGCTTCGCCGGCCGCAACCCCGGCGCGCTCGCTACGCACGCTCGGCTCTCACAACACTAACTTACCAAGTGTGAAACCAAGAACCCCAAAAATATTTATCCATAATAAGCCTATCGCAATCCGTTTCGCAAAATCTGTAGGCTTTTCGCAAAATTCGATTTAACAAATCATCCCACGACATAGACAAAACATTGCGTAGTACCCGTTTATATGATGATGATTATTATGCTTAGAATGATTTGAGATTGTTTTTCCTGAGAACTGTATTTATCGTTATTGTAATGTTTAAGAAGACAAAACTATATCGGTGTGTAGTGCTATAATTATGCCTTATAAATTCTTAGTATAAGACTTAAATTTAAATTATTATTCGTCTCCTTTAGACAAAATATATATATTTTATACCGTGTTTTTTTTATAATGTTCGAATAATTTTGGCATTTTAATCAAAACAATTAATTTATTTCTGTCTAGACATTTTTTAAATGAACATGACTGGTTTATTATCAGTAGTAAGTTTTTGTGAATAAGGCCTACTTGCAGCAAATTTGCTAAATCTCGATTCTACTAAAACTAGTTTTATCCCCTAGAAAAATGTCAGTCAATTTGACATTATCGTATGGGCTGTAATCTAGTATTAGTTAAATTGTGATTTAGAAAAATTGCTGAAACAGACTATCAAACGTAATACCCACACCCCTTTATCAATAAACAAAGAATAAGCTTCGATTATTTACTCTATGTTTGGTCTCTGTTCATTGAACAACAAATGGCATTTGAGTGACAAGAACAAAACACGACGTAACTAGTCTAAGCTTATTCCTTGTTTATTAATAAGGGGGACAAAGTGCATCGGATTCAGATACCTTGATAAAAAGTTTTGATATGCTACACACCCCACCATTTTGAATTGCTTGGACAAATACATTTATATAAACTTAATACGGTTCAATATCGAGTACAAGTTGAATGACAATTTGATAATATTAAATTTGAATGTAAATTATTTTTTATGGTTGTTTCACTATAGGAAACAATGATGGCGTCAGATAGGGATGACAACGTGATTAAAGAGCGTATTTCTGTTTTTTATAAACATAAGTAAACCATAGACCTAAACAAAGTATCGATTTATAATGGAAGCACTGAGTCTCATTCCAACGTTGGAAGTTATTATAATTATTATATATTAAAAAACATATATAACACTTCCCTTTAAGCAAGCTTTTCTTCTACTTATTTATGTCACAATCATTCTGTGAAAATTTTGTTCTTTGCATCAAATAATTAGGAGAGCAGTCTTTCTATATGGGGTTAGTGGTCTCAAAGATATTTTTTTCTTTGTTGGGAATAAACAATAGCTAAATAATAAGCAGTATATATACACGCTTTGTACTTATCAACAACTACTGAGTATTTTATTACGTAAATTTACTACGTCTAGTAGCAAATTTTACATACGTAAGAATTTCTTTTATTAGGTTTAGACAAAAGAACTAACATCTACAGTGTCTACAATAAGTAATTTTCAAAATAAAGTAAAATTTGCTGGTTTAATTAATAACTTCTGCTTTTGTTAAATTACATATCCTATGGCATCACTGAGAGACGTTAACCAAGGTCATTAGTGTCTATTTTAAAAGCACTGTTCTGTTAGTTAGAATTTATAATGAACAAATGATAGCTACCTAATCGTTTAACTTGGCAAATTAAGGCACGACTATAACTCCCGCCAATTATGAAACATTGTGTCCCTCTCGAATACTATTCCAAACAGGATTTATGTGAGAAAGACAGAGTGCCTTTTTTGAGAAAAAAATCTGACAAAAACTTTAAGGAAATATAAAATCATTTTTATTAGTGGTTTTAGTACAATTAAAATGTTGAGATACTGTGAATTACTTAAGTATACCTGCTTCATAGTTAATCAAAAGAAGAAACCACTGTCAAATTTAGTTTTAAGTTTAGCGTGCCAAAATAAGCTCCATGAAGTAAATATAAACAATTTCAACAATTTCGCATTTGAATAACATCAGTTTCACTTAATCTACTTTAGATATAACATCATTTTAAAAATCTTTGTAATAATGTCGACAGATATAATATTTATTAACAATTGGTTTCATTACGGATTTTATCTTTGCCTTATTCTATTTATTATTAATTCAACGGAACTATATACTTTATGACATTTGTCATACTGATTTTTATGGCACTTGTGGTAAATGGTAAAATATAGATAAAAAAGTTCAAGCTTGCAAGGAAAAATATCTAACAAGTTTTTGTTATTAACTCTCTCGACGCATACATATAATTGTAAACAATGAAAGAGTACTTTAAATATTTATTGACAAAATATAATGTAATATTTAATATTTGGGTAAATAAAAGTGTGATGATACCATATATTAATATGTACATTATTTTGAACTATGTTGAAAGGGTATTAAATGAACACACAATAAATCTGTATACTGCAAATAAGTTTTACTTCATTATGTTCTAATGTAAATTCTAGAATCAGCGTGGAAAGAAAATATCGAACAATCCTTTTGTAACAACAGTTGAAGCGTTTATTGTAAAAGGCACTTCATAGTAATAATCACAATATTAGCACCTTTAAATAGCTGTGCACAACTAAACAACTCATAATATTAATTTAGATAATATACATATTATGCTTTCCTAAATTAGAAAGTGTATTATTTACATAGACTAGTATCAAATAAAGATATTTACAGAAAGGACGTATTCGAACCATAGCATGTTATTTTAATGACAGCATTTAAGAAATCATTCTTAAGATAACCCGATTTATCTATGTTCGAAAACGCCCTGAAAAGGTTAATCCATAAAATATTTATGTAATTATAACAAAGTGACTCTCATATTGGAACAATATCACGAAAACTATTTTTCTCAAACTCAGTGTGGGCACAATTCCAGTACGAAAAAAAAATGTTAGCCAAATTTTTGTTCGCACTAGTTGTTAATGGCTTTTTGACTTTGCATGTGTTCAAAATTATATGTATTATTTGAAATTCGGTAAAAACTTATTAATTCACAACTAACGTAGAACAGTTTTTGTTCATTTATTGCTTTTGTTTTTTGCTAACGCTAATTCTAACATTTTAAGAGTCATAATGTCCACAATTAACATAAATTTGGGTGACACACTCAAGGGCTCAAGCGATTTATTTATAGCGTTATGTGAAAAGCAAACAACGATCACAAACGGATATAGCACCAAACGTTATATTAAGATTGGTTATGAATAATAGAGGATTTTTTTGAATGAAAATAGACAACATTTACTTTAGATAATTTTATATGTACTGATTTACAAACACGAGGCCCGATTTTTTGCTGTTGTCAATTCACAAAACCCTTAATCGAAATATTGTCATATTATTTATGTAGTTAACAGTACACGTGCACGTTTTAAATATGTTTTCTTAATCAGTTTTCAAATTTTCATAAATAGGGTAGTTGACACAAATTTCGTTTGGTTAAAATGATACAAATTATAAGGTTTTTAAATCTGGTGAAAGAGGGAACACGTCAAACAACAGAAGAGGGACGGCACTACCGAAAAAATGCGTATCGCCATAAACGCTACAAGAGCGTAAGAGATACGATTCAGCTGCCAACACTGTTTGTAATAGTTGTACTCAAAATGCTTACTTCCATACTACATTCTAACTATTTGTAACCAATTAAAATTAATCAAATCCAATCTTTAGCAACTACCCTATTAGTGAAATATATAACCTAATATTATCAGATATTATCAGGTTTTGATAACATATTTTGTCATTATAATGTTACTGAAATATTTTCTTCATATTGCATTAGTATTGCTTTGATTTCAAAACACATTTGACACAATACTCTCCTTGGATGCACAAATTATTTAACATCTATACAATATATTATTAAAAGTATCTGTAAACTTCATGACAGGAAAGAAAAGGCAGATCCAGAATCAGGATATAAAATGTATGCCCAAGTTATGAATTCTTTTATGGATTTTGAGGAGAATTTACTGTCGTATTTCCATCCATGCCATCTAGCGCCAGTCATTTGTGAAAACCCTCATTTGAGTAAGCATATTGTCCTCTGGGTTAATTATTACCCAATTAAGAATCCGCCCGAATGAATATTGTAACTATTTAGGGTATAGCAAATAGTAATTTTATTGATAAGGAATTATGACTTTTATTCTCAAAATTGCTGTCATGTTGATAAAGTTTATATATCTTTCAGCAAGATTATAGGTACTCATATATATATAACAGTGAATACGAAAGATACTTTTATACGTTAAAAACTGCTTGAATATTTTAGTGTGTAGTGTTGTGACGTAAAAGCAAACAATGTTAGTGGATTTATGTGCTATTAAAGTTGAAAAAACACAAAAACATACATAAACATCTATAAGTCTATTGAGATAAAGATGGTGTTTAAACTTTTCACGACTTGAGCTCATTTATTGCAGAGTGCACCACCCGCGCAATAGTCAAGGGTTGTCGACGCCGTTCTCTGGTAAAAGTTCGGTGTTATCTTCCCCGTTTAATTGTTGGTCTCTTATAACTATTGTTGGGTTGTTGGAACAAGTGGAATTGTTCGAGATTGTTCTTTGCGTCGTTTTGCACCGTTGACATTCCACGACCACTATAGAGTTGGTGTCGATATCTGTCTCGGTGCTGCTTGTACGACGTAAGTGGTTGATGTTGTGCAAACGGTGGTCTGATATAGCCTGCCATAGACGAAGTTCTACGCCACCCCTATGAATAGCAATTTGAGTTACAAATCTATACATATTATAAAATGGTAGGAAAGTCAAAACTGTACATTGAATATTTTTTTAAAAGAATAAAGGTGTGATCTGCAATCGATACCGAAGCCAAAAATATAGTTGTTAGAATATTTGTCTGTATGTATGTCCGGGAAAAACTTAAAAATGCAGTACTGCATGGATTTACTTCAAAGGACATGGCTAAGAAACTGCTCTTTACGTGTATAATTATTTTGCACTAGCCCATAATTTTATAATATTTTTTATTAATTATTACGCGTTTATAATTTTCATACAACTTTCGTGAAATAATCAAATATTTAAAAGTATAAAAATTGACTTCATGTCTGTTTCAAAAGGAAAATGTTCCGTTTTACTAAAATAAATGTACAATAAATGTATACTAAAATATATTTCTGTCAGTATAAACAATAATAATTCAATACTTCCAAAAAGTATGACATATTTGGCACTTATTTTTATTATAATAAATCACTGAAGGCCTAAAATAATAGATTTTATTTTCTGATCAGGCTTGAGAGAAGGCTGTAAGATAATTAATGCTTTGATTTTTGCCAATGAACAAAATAAAACTTCACAGATTTCATGTCAGGCCGACAATAACAAATTATTTGTATTTATTTTTACTTTTAAAAATGCTTTTTGTGAATTGTTAATCAGATAAATATGAAGAAATATTCTAAGAAAATGCGAAATTTGATGGCTCTGTAAATAATTGGCAACATCAGCAAATGTAGCAAGGTAATGATGTCGTAGATCTCATAATTTTCAAGATTGTGACTTTATCAAAAGTTCCTGAGCCCTTTTTCATAGAAATTATAAATATTAAGCCATTCTGCATTATATATTACTAAGTACAATATTTATACATTGCTAGGGCAGTCGCTCATACAAAATTTTACCATGTCCTTTGGCACGAATATTATTAAGAAGTCGGGTCAACATATAGACTACATATTATGACGCCACGGGGAACGAGCAGTGAACCCTTTTGTAGTCAAAAATTATGTGCAAATATCTAAGTCCACGCGTACGATGTCGCGGGCGGCCGCTACTAAATCAATATTTCCAACACTGACACAAATTAGCCTAGCCCCAAAGTAAGCACTGTAGGGCTTGTGTTATGGGATGTTAGGGTAACGGATAGAATACATATACTGTACATTATATAAGTAGAAATACATATGAAACATCCATTACTGGAGTACAAATGCTCGTATTCATCACACAAACATCTGCCCCCACCGGGATTCGACCCGGGACCTCTCGAGTCGGCGACACCATGAAACCCGGCACACAAACTACTCGGCCGAGGAGGTCGTAAATTTTAAGTTATGAACGAAGTTTTGTGTCTGTGATAAATTGTCATCGTAATGTTTCTAGAGATATAAATAAGAAAATATTAGTTATGTAGATAAATTTGGATTTGAAATTTTTGTGTATCATTCTTTTTGTTTCTGATTTCCTAAGACAAATATGCACTTTTTTTTATTAGTGTTAGACAAATATCCACTGCGGTAATTTAGAAGAATAAGTAATTATTTATTGTCCAATCATCTTTACAACAAGAATTACACCTAACATCAGACGTTGTGTAATTTAAATTTTGCTGTCCATTCTAATAGTATTACAAAATTAACTCTGTCTCTTATCTTAATTTTTAGTATGGACAAAAGGGGGACTAACGTGAAGGAAATAGACTATTTTGTCACAAAAACCTTTTAGTAGGATAAAATGCTGATCAAAGTTTGTATGGAGATAAAATATTCTACATCTACAGATGAATAACTCTAGCCATTCTAGTGAAGTTATAAAGCCTCTTTGAAAGGGATAAAATACATACCAAAAAATTGTAGGGAAAAAATCTAAGTAGATGAAGTACCCTAAGCCAACGAATTAGAAATCATTTGTAAAAATTTATTTCTTACAAAGGTCGCTTAAAAATAGTTCCAAACTCATACAACTGCACTTCAATACTAACGCGACACGCACACAGACACAAAATGTTGTGATAAATCAAATATCTGCAGATGAATAGGCTAGTTTACTCATGACGAATTGTATTAAATAAATGTTTATTTCTTAAAGTGTTTAGTCTAAGGAACCTTAATATATCGATTTCACTTCATAAAAGCAGAAGATTGCTGTAGAAATTTAATTTTAAAAAATATTTTTTAGTCTATATTTTTTAAACACTAAAAACGCTGTTCGCTACATTCGCCATGATTTTGACGTCTCTTGTGGTAAACAACTAAATGTCATTCGCGTGTTACTGTAGGTGGATTCTTTCGTCTGACTAAATTTATCTTAAAACACTTTTAACTTTAGGAAAGAAAAAAACAGTAAACTTATTTTTTTTTGACTAAACAAATTATGGATGCCGGCTTTGTGAAAGTAGAAAGCACAAATCTGCCAAGAATTGACGCATTGATGGTTGGTGAATTTGTTGCACTAAACTCCGATTTCTGATATCGAGAAACGACAAGGCATCTATGTAAGTACAGTGCATTTAGTATTACAATGTAGTAATAACCATAAAACTGATACAACATATGAATAAGTGTAATAAAGTTGCGTAGGTTAATTTCTTTCCGCACTTTAATCCACAACTTTCCTGGAGTCTTCAAGGATGTGTTTTTATATTCTCGTACAATACAGTAATGATATTTACTTTATTTTTCGTGGTATTTATTAGAAATCATGTTTTTTTTTATTATAAACTCAGTTAAAAGTAATTTTCTACGTGTTTACGAGTTTTTGTTTACCACAGTTCACGTCATAGCATAGACAATCTATAGACTAAAATGGCCGACAGCGTTTTTGTATGTCCATGAAAAGTCTATTTTAAAATTAAAGATGTGTAGCTTTCTAGGTTTAAAAAAAATACAATACATTTTTTTCGGTCTAATAGAACATTTATTAACCATTTAAAACCTTTTTCCAAAAAGGGTCAACTAGCCTATTCTGCTATCCATTCATTGAGTGAGACAATTTTAAACGGATATCCCAACCAATCCCATGATCGGCGTATTGATCGTATTATTTTCGCCATGCCCACTATAGCGCATTTTGAGTGGAACCACTTTTTAGCGCAATTTGTATTCCATATTATGTCTTAACCTAATCCTTATTCGTTAATCTAATCTTACGAAATTATAAAGACGATTCTCACTTTAGATTTAGCCTCGTGATTTCTTTGCGTTGCGCGTGCCGTAGTAGATCATTCAGTGTATAATCGTTAGCGGCGAGAATTCGCACCGCCGAGTCCGGAATGCCTTTCCTCGAGGCCCACTCTCGGATAATGCTGTATTGTTCTTCGTCTATTTCATCGACTGTGTCCGTTCTGTTCCGATGTAAAATATAAATGAGTACGAATGTGAGGGATGAGTTTTTGGTGCGATTTCATCGAGTGCGATTGGCGTCATATTTTCATTATGCGTTCATAGTGGATATTGTGAAATAAAATTGGTGTGATTTAGTGTTATAACCGTCTGCGCAACTGCAGAAATAGTGGAATCTTAAAATTTATGCTATTCCAGTCAAGTGAACGTGTGAACTTTATTATAAATAAAGTTATGTATGAACAACATTTTATGTGGTACAAGTGGATATTAAAATCCATTTATATTATTGATGAATTCGACATATTATTTTTCTACAAATAAATGCATATTATTCTACAAATTGGGCAGAGTTGTATGGAGAAACCAATGGATCCTTTGTTGAGTATCATAATCTTGATTTCTTTTAGCGGATGTCAAAATAAATATGCCAAAATATTACAAATATTCAAATCCGTTATGGTTAACACAATCATAATGACTAAGTAAAGTACTGCAGCCTATTTGTAAATGGTGCTGTTTCTAGATGTGTAGTATTTTTGTACTCATCTAAATGCGATCTCACCTCGGCCTCCTTTCAAGAAGTTCCCGGATCATTTGTGTCTGCGTTCGCTGCTCCTCTAGCATTTGACGCAACAGCGCTTGGTACTGATGGTAGCTTTCTATCAGTTCCTGGTGAAGCCTGGTAAAGCAAATCGTATTATGTTTAGTAAGAATCAAAGTGGAGGAGCTCGGTGGCGCAGGTGGTTAGCGCGTGCTGCTGCGATCGTTGAAGTTAAGCAACTTTCGCAATGGTCGTTCATTGGATGGATGGCCAAAAATCTTCTATCTCGTGTTCCTCCGTGCTTCGTAAAGCACGTTTAGCCGTTGATCCCGGCTGCATCTGCAGTCGTTAGCACCCGCCAATCCGCACTAGGCCCGCGTGGTGGGTCATGGCCCCATCTCCCTATTCCATCCATAGGGAAGGCCTGTGCCCTAGCAGTGGGGACATTAATAGGCTGATGATGAGAATCAAAGCGCACTGCCCTTAAATTTTTAATAAACCATTTCACAATAAGTAGACTTAATCGTATGAAAGTGACATAATTATTAATGTGTTCCCCTTATTGTTATGCACGTGAAAAAGTGGAGGATGTGCAACACATATTAATGAAATGCATCAAAAATGAATCGGAAGGAAAAATGCGTTCTCCATCCTTAAAAAGCCTATCGGAGGAGGCTGGTGTGCTTTGCAATATGGTGGCAAAAAATCTGTGTAATAATATAATTGAATATAAGAAAATTGTATGGTCAGGTTACGATGGGGCTGGTATGGAAAATTTCAAAAGGTCCAAAAGTCCCTTAAAAGTATGTATTCATTATATTTTATTATTTTAAGCTAAATATATTTAAGCTGCTAGAATTATAAATCAGAAGTTTTTTTTAATGCTAAAAAAACCACTCGTCCAGGTTTCAGACAGGATGTGAACCTGCACTTTGCATTGATAGAAGACTCTGCCTTGCAGCTTAATAAATACTAGAGGAAATAAGACAGATCAAATAAGGTCTCGATAGCATAATTAGTTAGTTCATCCGCCCTGAGAGCGGAAGGTGCAGGTTTGAATCCTGTCTGTAACCTGGACCGAGTAATGTGCATTCAATATATATCCTACTAATATATAAATGTGAACGTAAGTGCGTTTGACTGTTTGAATGTTTGTTACTCAATCACACAAAAACTACTAAACGGATTTTGAATGAAAGGGCATTGGGCAAAAATGTATGGACGCTGCACACACACCTGCCACGGCTTAAAACTACATTTGTTTGAAAGGTATTATAGTCATGATGATCAGTACCAAAGCGCATCAAATTCCATTCCAGGGGTCTTTAGTTATTTTAAGTTAAATAGGTACAAGTACTATAACGGACGAACATTAATGAAATAAAGGAATAAATTAAGTTAGTTCGACCGTACACAGAGGGCTCAGGGTTTATGGGAGTACTTCAAAAGGTGCAAGGGTGCACCGCTAAAGTAAATCCAAAAATCCCTACATGGGTTGGGGTTTTTTCAAACAGTCTGTTCGTTATTGTAAGTTGTCTTCTATGTAAAACGGAGCGACCACAAATCACACAACTTGTCCACGCTTCGAGGAAAACGTGATTCCAGTTCATCCATAGTAATTGACAAAACCGATAAACGTGTTTCAATGTCCAAAGCGTGTTAGATAAAAATCAATCAAGTGACAGGGAGCGCACAATCACAATGAAGTAAGACGAGGCGACTATTTGCATCTGCAAGTCCTTCAACCCCTCGTAAACCTTTTTGAGGTGGCTCAGTAAGTGCAAGCGCAGGATGGTCGGCAGGCTTTGTCGTATATCTGGTTGTATAATACGATATGGCATATTATTATCGTTACTAATAATATAAAATGAAGGTGCTATAAAATTAATTTATTTAGCTACTAAATATGCCCATGTGCCATAACTTTTCACTACCCGGATATTTTTTACGGTGCTATATCTTTTGACTACCGGGATATTTTTTTTAGGCGTCATATTAAAAAAGGCTAGTTTTTCATAGATCTATCGATTCATGCTAATTACATTGTTGGCGGAGTTGGGTGTGTTTCTCTTGCCCTTTGGTACGCATATAGTTTATGATCTGGATTGAGACATAGGATACTTTAAATCTCAAAAAAATTAAGTTCCTGAGCGATACTCAGAAAACTTAAGTTGACGCGGACGAAGTCGTCCAAAAATGTTTATATATACTTACTTATGGTTCTCTTGTCGCAGCTGATGCATATGCTGATCCCTGGAGGAAGTAGCGGTGGATATGGCGGAAGGGGTCGCAGCCTCGATGGCGCCACTCGCGCCAATACTGGCGCCGCGCCGTGACTCCTGGCCCGCCAGATTGGCTCCCAGTTCTTTGCCAAATAATTATTAGATTTTTTTTATATATATACTTAGTTTCAATTAAATATTCAATAAAAAATATTTCATTGAAATGGTTCCAATAGGACTTCTTTTTTTTTAAATTGGAGCAATTTTTAATTTACTATTTATAACACTATTGTAAATATATAGTGTTACGTAATAATCTTAATATATATAAATCTCGTGTCACAATGTTTGTCCTCAATGGACTCCTAAACCACTTAACCGATTATAATAAAATTCGCACACCATGTGCAGTTCGATCCAACTTGAGAGATAGGATAGTTTAAATCTCAAATTATAGTCGCAATTTTAATTTATTGCAAATTATTACTTTTGGGCGGTACGAAGTTCGCCGAGTCAGCTAGTAAGTATATAAAATAATACAAAATGTACAATACAATACAAAAACTCTTTATTGTACACCACAAAAAAAACGTTGAACATTAACTACAAAACCATCTAGTACACGTGATGCAATGGGCGGCCTTATCACTTAAAGTGATCTCTTCCAGGCAACCTTTGGATGGAGAGGATTAGAAGGAAGAATGTACACAACTATTTACACTATTCTTGTTTTTAAACATATTAATACTTAAAAGTCTTTCTGCAATTAATTTCATAGAAAAATATAAACTTATTTTTGCATTCCACATAAATAGCAGTAAATACACCAAAAGCCTCTGGCCGACAAATGCACTCATTTTACTCGTAGGAAATGCTAGGTTACCTATCTCTTTTTCTTGCGTAACACGCGGAAATCGCCCAAATCACCCCGATCAGCTCACTCTTTCGCTGATTCGTGTCAGTGAGCAGGTTGATTAAAGCGTACCTCTTGACCAAGTCCGACCGAGATCTATTTGAGCCGAAGATACATTCGGAGCGACATTAAAGATTTGCGGAATCGACTCACTGAGCCGCTTCAGTAAATAGTTACACTCGTCTAGTTCACAGTCACTCGCGGACCGTTGAAAAGGCAAGATGCCGCGGAACAATTGCGATAGGTTCTCTGTCTATCTTTACATCCTATATCTATATGTGCAACATGAGTTTTACTAAAATCTAGCTTATCAGTTATTCATGGGACTTATCAACGCAGCTTACTTACTAAAATTTTAAGTAAGTAAACTGCGTTAGCCAGCAAATGGCGCTTTCAATAAACAAACTCAATATATAAAAACACATCACTATGAAATTACCTGGAGAGAGCACAGTAATAGCTGCCTGCACTGCATTTCTAACCAAATTGTCTAATGCGAACATCCAATGAGGCTTAATACTGTGCATTCGAAGCACAGCGTTCACCGCTTCTTGGAACATGTATATTGCTGAATGTAATTCGTTGATCGCTTTAGCGTCGAAGTCCAGTTCTTCTTTCAGTGTGGTGATAGCTTGCTCGATAACGCTTCGGTTTTGATCCATTATGTAATCTTTGAGTGCGCAGCGGAGGGTCTCTAAGTGATTCTGATAGTAAAAATGAAACAGTTTTTTAATCATTTAGTAGCCGAGTTGCAATGTTCAACTGCTTTCTGACAAATTATACGATAGAATAATTATGATAAACTTTATTCAAAAGTCCTCGGATATCATAATATTACGATACCTCAACTTAAGGAAACAATTGAGTAACAAGCAATTACTAATTCTGTAAAACTGTCTGCCATAATTAAAAATGCAATGAACATGATCCTAAAGGAATCCATTTCTATTACTGATGTAATAAATGTGTGTAGTATAATAATTCGTGATAAAACTTATAATAAAGTAGTAACGAGACACAAACCCCATTATTAAACGAGGAATAAGCTTAGACTAGGTACGCCGTATTTTGTTCATATCAAGCCGGGTCTCCAGCGCGTTTTTTGCGCTACACAATCAACAAAAACATATCAACATTCAACAAAATCGTCTACACAAAACTTTATTTCACTAAACATATTTGTTTGCATCAACTAAGTTTTTGCTTTCCGAGACCGATGAAAAACACGTACACAAATCACCGCCGCGCGGGTCGAGGGGCAGGTTATTGTTTCATCGGCAATTGTTGACATCTCGCTAGCGGGGACTCCGTTCTAAGCTTACACCCCGAGTGCAACTTTTCACTCTGTCATTAAAATTTTAATATAAAATGTACGAAACTTTTATCAAAGACGACCTCTGTGACCGAGTGGTTTATACACCGGGTTTCATGGTGTCGCCGACTCGAGAGGTCCCGTAAATTAGGTTCGAATCCCGGTGGGGGCAGATATTTGTGTGATGAATACGAGCATTAATTTGTATATTATTATTATTAAATTAGTCATTTGTTGCACCTGGATCGTAGGTTTAGAACGCATCGCTGTGTATTTTGTGTACGACAGCCATGTGAGCAGCAGACGGCGTGTGTAGAAAAACATGTTTCAGAAACAAAGTGTATGTGTTTTTGTTGAATGTTTTCAAAAAACTTTTGTTGGAGACCCGGCTTAATAGTTCGTGATAAAACAAGAAACACTAATCGTGACAAAACTAATAATACGGTAATACCTAGAACACATAGACTATTAATTAGTCGGTACTTACCATAGTCAGCAGAGTGTTACCGAAGTCTTGTTGTACGCTTAGCATCCATTTTGAACAGATCTTTTCGCTGTCCTGCTCCAACACTCGGGAGAGAGTAAGACGCCGCTGAGAGTCTTTCTTCAACAGGTAGAATCCATCGTGTTCCACGTCAATGGACGAACGAGGCACAGTTGTCATATCCACCTGAAATGGTTATGCTTTATGCCGGCACTTCACTTGGCTGTTCGTATCTGCTATTTGTAAACTTAACAAGTCTGTCCTTATCCAGCTTTATAAGTAATAAAAAGGACACGAATAGCCAAGTAAAGCATGAGGACCAAGAACAACGCCATCTAGCGGGCTTTACTCTGGTATGAGTCTTCCCCCCTCTTTTTTCTTCACAATAGAAGTAAAATAAAATGATAAGGTAAACTATCAAAAAGTATTAATTGACTAATTTAGCTTTAAGCTTACAGTCATGCCAAAACTAGGCCGACTACTAGACCCCAAAATTTGCTATGTTTATTGAATTTACAAATTAAATTTACAAAATTTGCGAATTTGTATACACCGTGTTCCTGAGGTTATACACTAACTTTGGCATGTTATTCAGACTATTAAATTGATCATTTTTGAAGTGAATTCGGCGTTGGAAAAAAATTTACCGTCACATTTTTATTCGGTTACGCGTCACGTATTTTGGTTACGCGCCATCTTTTTTTTAAAAGAGCACTAATTACCTCATCCGAACAATTGCTTCTTCTGTCAACTTTTAAAAAAAAACGTATCGACAGCAAATATTCGTGTTTCACACAAGGTAAGGTAAGGTAAGGTAAGGTAAGGTAAGGTAAGGTAAGGTAAGGTAAGGTAAGGTAAGGTAAGGTAAGGTAAGGTAAGGTAAGGTAAGGTAAGGTAAGGTAAGGTGTAGTTATACCCCTTTAGTAGGTGAGTTTTTGAAAAATCTTAGCGCACGCCTATATATATATTTCTGGAAAGTTGCATGTAGATCATTTTTCGAAAAAAATAAGGCCATAAAGAAGTTTCACTTCTTACGTGTGTACACTAGTACACGCACACATTTTTTTACTATGGACACTTTTATGAATTCTAATTTGTTTAACATTTTTTATTTTCATACAAACTAAATGCTTAGATGTAATTTATCTAATATGAATTACTCTTTACCTGAGCTGGCAACGTCGCATTTGAAACTTTGGTTCACATGTCCACATAAACTTTTTGAAACTTTTCTTGACATCAACAATGTTTTTTAAAATTTTGACTTTTGAAACTATGACTCAATGACCATTGACAAAGAGTTGATAGTTTGATAGTTTTGGTTGCACAAAGTGGCAACATCTCACAGATAAAGACTCTTTCTCACTGCACAACACAATTAAGTTGGTTAAACTTAAAGTATCAATAACTTAAAAACTATGCTATTTAAACTACTACTTTCCTTGTACGATATGTTTAACAAGAGCTATAGAAGTATTATTCAAAGTTAATGTATATCCTCAGGAACACGGTGTATATGTTATACTAATCAAAAAGTCTAATTAAAAAAGACATGTGAAAACGTATTCAAAATATTAAGCACTTTAAATAATTATTGTAGGAGTGTGATAGAAGCAGCTTGCTATCTCATTCGCACTTGTAGACGATTACGTCATCGTTACTGATGTCTTTCTAAATGGGTAATGGGTAGTAAATGCCAAATCGGATTTATGAGACATGCATGGCACCGACTCCAAATATAATAAGACTTAGAATAAAAGAAAGGTTAATTATTTTTTGCTTTTCGGCGATTTAACTTTTTTTTAATTTTATTTTATTTTTTGTGGCTATAATTTTTCTCGGCGTATCTGTGAGTGAACAATCACCCTTATTTCCCAACCATTAAGGTGGAATTTTTGTTTTCAAATTTATCTAGGACCAACTTTGAGGTTAACCCTACCCAATAAAAACCGGCCACGAGTGTGTCGTGCCACGCGCAGTGTATGGTTCCGTTAATTATTTTATTGTATTTTTTTTAATACTTTATAATTTTTTTGTTTTTCTATTTAAGGTTTTACCACCTTGTAAAACCTTGAATCTTAGTCACTTTTAATGTGTTTTTCTAAGGATTTTTTATTATGTAAGAAATTTTCTAATACCTAAACAGTACGACTATTACTCTTAGGGCCGATTGTTCAATCTTCAGATAAAAAGTCTAATAACTATCCAGCGTATAAAGTTATCTGTCTGTTTATTCGACGTATAAATACTCTCCTATTTTTCAATGTCTTTTTATTCCTCGAATAGTTAACTGACGGAATATTTGAACTCTGGAACACGAACTTCATAGTGGTGAAACAAATATATTGCAAACTTATGGGTTAGAGAAGGACAAAATATATCTGTCAAACAAGTGTCAGTGCCACTTTACTTTTGAGGTTATGTCATGCGTGTTTATTTTTTGGTGCGAAACGTAGGACGTCTATTGGTTGTGTTCTTAAAAAATATTGCAAAAGTGTACGGGAATAATGAAATCCATGAAAAGAGAACGTTCAGCAAATTTTAATACTGCAGAAATTCAACTTCTCGTGAGTTTAGTAGGTAAATTTAAATCAATTATTGAAAATAAAAAGACGGACGCGGTGACGAACAAAGATAAAGAGGCAGCATGGAAGAAAATTGAAAATTCTTTTAACTCCTGTGGTATATCCACGTGTGTCCGCTCCTGGAAAACATTAAAACTGAAGTATGAGGGACTGAAAAAAGGAACAAAAAAGAAATCGTCTCTTCAAAGGCAAGAGATGTACAGAACAGGTGGAGGGCCTTCAACTGCTCCTGAATTTGATGAGATCGAGGAAAAGGTGATGAGCATTTGTTCTAATATAAAAGGACTCGAAGCGCGTAACGACAGTGATACTATCTCTAGTAAGTATTAGTTCAAATGTTACTTTAAAAAAATCCATCCACTATGTGTTGCGTTAAAGAGTAATAAACATCCATCCTCACAAACATTCACATTTATAATATTAGCGGTATTCTAATCTAATAATCTTTATTAGTGAGATCTTACTTAGTTTAGGCACTGGTAGAGTGCTATCTAGAGCCATAAATTTTATTGTAATATGCCAAAAAGAACAAACTATAAATAAATCAATTCCTTTGTTATTTGATTTTTGTTTTTCAAATACCAATCCCACACTTATAAATATATTTTTCAGCACTGCATCCTGTTGGGGAATTGATTTCGGAGTCAGAGCTTACTGAAGTTTATTCTGCCTATCAACCAGAATCACAGGATACTGCCGAAGCTGCAAATGTGCAAATGCCAGGTATGTAATTACCCTAGCTACTACCAGAAAGTTATCAGTTAAGATGTTTGTGTGATGAATACGAGCATTTGTACTCCAGTCATGGATGTTTAATATGTATTTCTATATAAATATACTTATATTTGTACATTATATGTATTCTATCCGTTACCCTAGCATCCCATAACACAAGCCTTGCAGTGCTTACTTTGGGGCTAGGCTAATTGGTGTGAGTGTTGTAAATATTTATTTATCTTTATTTTAATAATATCATTTCAACATTTTTTTTTATTTTAGGTATGGACGACTCCATCATAATGGAAATAGTGGAAGTAGAGAACAGCGACTCTCAAAAAGGTAAATTTAATATATATTTTTTTACAACTAGTACAGGCAAACAAGTTACCTGATGGTAAGTGCACCCGTCTCCTAAACCATTCACTGTCCCACTAGAACTATGTTACTCATCCTGAGACTTAAGGTGTTATGTCTCATGTGCCTGTAATTTCACTGGCTAACTTGCCTTCAAACTGATACACAGAAGTACGAACATTACTGTCTGGCGGAAAACATGCAAGCTGCTGGTACTGTCTCAGGCAGACTTGCACTAAGTCCCTAACACTCGGATATTCTATCTGTTTTACCTTATTTTGTAGTGTAACCATTAGTATTATTATACCATAACAATTTTATGTTTACAGAAAATAAATGGGATAAATGGCATCCTAAAGCACTTAAAACGAGAGTCTCAAATGTCTTAAAACCAGACATTGTAACTAAATCCAGCGTAACCTCCAAACTGGATAAATTAAGTTCAGCTCGATTGGAGTTGGTGCAGTTACAAATGGACAGCACTAGAAAGCAGCAAATTTTCATGGAAGAAGAACATAAACTGAAAATGGCACATTTGGCAAATGATGAAAGAAGAAAAGAAGAGCTCCATGCCTTACTAATGGAAAAAATTAGATGTGGCCCAGTACCGAGCGGCATGATTTAAGGTGTTTGTGTTATTGTGCTAAATGTTGCTTATAATTTGTGATTTATATTATGCATAAGGTACTGTATAACCATAGGTATTAAGTTTGTTTTATAAATAAATAAAGACTTGTTTTTCATTTTGTAAATTAGATATTATTCATAAGTAGGTAAAGGTAATTTTAATTAAAATTTTATACATTAGGTAGTTTTTAGTTCTTGTTATTTTATTTTCTATATATTTTAATACTGTAAATAAAAAGTATAATGTAATAAAAATATTTTTATTAAAAGTTACAGTCAACTGGAAAGCCTAATTGAACTTACTACTATTATAAAATTAAAGAATTGAAATAACTTAACATTAAATTTCTAGTATGCAGCCTTTCTACACTTGTAGGATTTGCTATGAATGGTGGAAATATTGGCTGTGTTGGAACAAGAACTTCTGAGTCCAATGGTGGTTCCACTTCATTTTTTGTCCTTGCCAAGTTGTGCAATACATCACAAGCAACAATTACATCTTGTGCAAGTGGTAGCTTACACCTTAATCCAATACTTAGAACTGGAAAGCGTCTTTTCCACACTCCAAAACATCTTTCAATGACATTTCGTGTTCGTATTTGTGACTCATTATATAAACTCTGAGCCGGTGTGTCTGGGTTTTGAAAGGGAATCAATAGGTAATTGGTTTGTTCATAACCACTGTCTCCAAGTATTATTCCATTTCCAAATGCATTATTCTCACAGTGGAATTTTGCACATGAATTTGAAAATATCATGCAATCATGGGTTGATCCAGGCCAACGTGCAACTATATCTTGGAACATCAACTCTGCTGAACACATTGCTTGCACATTAAAGGAAAAAAAACCCTTTCTGTTCCTAAATTCCTCTGCTGTGTTACCACCAGGTGATTGAATCCTAATGTGGGTGCAATCTATAGCTGATATAATTCTAGGAAATCTGGCTATTTTATAAAATTCTTCCTGAGTCCTTCTTATATCTTCATCGCTTCTTGGTAACTGTATAAAGGTTTGTCTTAAAGACGCTATAGCACCTGTGACTTTTTTGATGATACGGCATATAGTGGAGTTATGAATGCCACCAAAATCACCAATAGTGATGTAGAAGCTCCCAGTGGCATAAAACCGAAGCGTAATTAATAACTGCAACATGGGTGAGATGCAATGGTTTCTGAAACAAATAAAAACGAGTTTACCTACCTATATTACGCGTACCTGAAGATGGGTAAGTATAAGGTAGGTAAGCCACCAGATAGATTTTTGATTGTGTAAACGATTGAAACTTACCTTTCTGTTTCGTGCTTGATTTTGTCTTCAATAAGGGCTAGTAAAAATTGTACTGACTCCTTTAAAAGTCTGAATCGGCGATGAAATTCTTCTGAATTCCACTGGGTATAATGATCGGCTCTCGGTTTGACGATTCTCACTTTTCTTTCAGTTGGATTTAAATATTCATTCATTATGCCCTCTTCTTCGATTGCCAAGTCATCAACGGAATCGAAAATATCCATGATTATCGCTCTTCGTTAATTGTAAAGTGACTAACCTAACGTAATTGTTAAAATAACCTCAAACAAAATCACTGTCAATGTCAAACTATTCGTCGAATAACGCGGTTATCTGATGGTTGAAGCGGCAGATAGATTTATCCCTCAGTTAGCAGAGTTATTCGACAGTTAAGTCTTATCCAACTGTTGAAAAACTCGAAACCTTGCTATCTATCGAATAAAAGCTATCTATCTGTTTATCTGAAGATTGAACAATCGGCCCTTATACTAACTGATCTATCTAAACCGTTATAATTTTCCTTGAAAGTTCATAATAAACACTAATATCATGACTTCTTACATATTTTTCAAGCCAATGATTTAGCTTTTAGAGGGGCGGGGGACTCTCGAAAAAAAATTGCACTTTAAGGTTTTATATTTCACAAACGGATCCCTGAATCAAAAAACAGTCTAGCAACCCCAAGTCGTTTTAAAGGACCAATTCTACGATATCGCACGTGATGTGGTAGACGAAAAAAAAAACTACTAGACGCTGCCCTAAAAAAGGCTCTTTTTCCAAATTTATATTAGACCAACTTTGAAGTGAATTATGAAAATCGGACTACTTTGTAAAATGTTATGCGCGATCGATCATACATAAAAAAGACAATAACCTCCTCCGTTTTTTTCGTCGGTTGAAAAACAACTAGCATATTAGGGGGTTAAACATTGATTATAATGAATTTTATTACTTTACCTCAGGCGATAACAATCCACCAGAGGAACTTCGCCTGTTCAGAATTGTGTCACCGCTATCCATTTCATCAGTCGAAGGTGTATTCGGCATCGTGCTGAGGGAAAGAATTTCAACTTTAACCGACAATACCTATATCTAATACAAAAGAAAACATTTCAAAGTAGTTGGTAAAAATATCATAAGAATGTACAGGTGTAGGGGAAAGAGTAAACACACACAAACACAAAACATAGTATATACTACATTGTGGTGTTAATTATGTGTGTTTCGAAAAGGTTTTTCGGAAGAACACAAATGTAGTTTATTTATTTATATTTCATAATATACTGATTTTTTGCTTTCAGAACTTTGACCAATTATTAATAAAAGAAGAATAAACTTATGGGATTATGGCAATAGTGACATGAACAAAACACGACGTATCTAGTCTAAGCTTATTCCTTGTTTATAAAAAGGGGGTAAAAGACGACGAAAGACGACTAATATTTGATATAGGTATGTATGTATTTGTGTATATATTTATATATATGTATGTAAATATATTTATTTAAATGACTATATATGTATTCTTGTAGGTATATAATTATATGTATTGTTTTATATACTTATTTCGATTATATTTGTTAGAATGATTTTATATTGTTTTGTAGTTAATTACACCGCCGTCTCTCCAGCTTCTTTCCTGTCCTCTCCATCCTAAGGTTGTCTGGAAGAGATCGCTCTTAGCGATAAGACCGCCCATTATTACACTGTATTCTTTAATTATGTACTTCATGTTTTATGTTTTCTGTGGTGTAAAAATAAAGAGTTTTGTATTGTATTGTGTATTTGGTTATAACAGTGCGATTAAAACTTTATGGAGATTGTGAAGTTAGCAATAAGCCCAAATATCCGCAGATTTCGGTTCAGTAAAACCTCATACGCACCTAGCACTTACGACATTTCATTTAGTGCGCCGCCACTTGCACTAACTTAACAGCCGCCTTTAATTTTGAATCGCACTGTAACGTAATGTTTACTTAATGCATGACGCATACGTATATAATACGCTTTCGGTTACACCTGTACAGATATGACAAATTGGTAGTAAAAAGTTTTATTAGTAAAATAAAACATTTTTATAGTAAGTTTATGTTAACTACATATAATCCAAAACTGAACTAATTACAAAGTTAAAATTTAGTCACTTTTGAATTAATTTTAAAAATGCAGTATAATGAGAAATTAGTTTTATGCTTAAAGCGTTATTAGGATGATTTGAGCGTTTACACGAAATTTCAAAATCTCTAAATGAATTTTGGGTAAAGTGCTTCAAGTGCATAGTGGGAAATTCATGATTGCGAGAAAGCGGTGGCTGTTGCAAAAATATGACGGTATACGTGATTTCATAGAATGCGATATTTTATGATCTCATATCCACACAAAATGGATCCGAAGTTCCTTGATGTCATTCACCATGAAACATGTATTTTATGATATCGAACATTTATAACTAACACTACCTACATTCATAATTATATTTAAGTAAATCCGAATTATTGAAAATCAAAAATACGTCGATGCATCTATACAATGCTTTCAGTCCTTCAAACAAAATATGGTATTCTATGAAGTCCCAAACGAGTGCTATTAAAAAGTTCGAATTTACCTGCTATTACACAAGTCCGGTGGGTATATCAGAATCGGTGAGAGCATCGACGAAGCCGTCCTAGTGATTGTCGGATTAGACCGGATCGTTTTCACCCTTTACGGGAAAACAAATACAGGCTTAGGTGCAAAGCAAACGACATATGTTAACAAAAACGTGTTACAAACTAAACTCGGGTGAACAGTGAAATGGGACTGTATCCCCTAGTGGATAGACACTATTTTTCGATGTTGTTTTCTGTAAAAGTGATGCCAATGATGAGACGTTGGCGATAGGAAGTATTAATACATGTACAACTACACAATCGATTTCATGTAAAACTCAATTCAACTATAGATTTGTTTTAAAAAACATTATTGAATGTCATAAGGTGTACCATAGGGTGTCTGAATATAAATATGCACGTATCCGCATTTCATTATTATCTACTTAAAGTAAATTTCGATTAATATAAACTTCAAGTAGGTTAATTATAAATCAAGCTTCTGTATAATGAAGACATTTACAAGTAATTTATTCAGGTTATAACACTTATACTTTTTATTACACTTATAAAATTTAACATCACAAAATGTAACACACTCTTATAAAAGATTTTTGGTTTGAGAACTTTATGAAAAGCGTATTCTTACATCGATTTTAGCTTAGAACAAAAAGAAAATATAGTATTGAGATACGGATCTATAATAAATCTTAGCAAAATTATATTTAACAGTCATATCTACGTTTTTCTCGGGGTATAAATTAATGAAATACTAATAAGACAAAAGATTCCCACAATACAAGCTCCCTTTCACCAAACTGAAATAACATGATGGACATCACTCAACAAACATTTGAGTATGAAACATTTCAACTGAAAATTAATTTAAATTCCAAAACATAATAAGCCATGCGGGTAAGTATCACAATTATGATAATCGGTAGATTTATAAAAAAGAAAACTAAATGCATTCCTTTAATTAATATTTAAGAAGACCATTTTTCTGTTTTAAGTTTTATTTCTGAGTTTTCATTCTTATTGTAATAATAGTCGCCTTTTATCTAATGTTTTCGTAGAAAGAGCATTAAATTTTAAATACTTCACTTAAACTTTTAAATAACTAAGACCTTATTTTTTGTTAGGCTGGTGCTTTATTCGTTGGTTATAACTGATCGATTTACTTAGACATTATTAAATAAATAAAAAATATATAGATACAACTAAATAATGACACAAAACTATTTGTAGAAGTTTTATATAATTATATAACTAAGTATTATAAATTAAAAAAACTTATGATATGTATAAAACAAACTTATTTGTAAAAGTAACTAACAGACCAATACCATTCAAATATGATCATGCTTTCTTTTACATAATTTCGAAGTTCTAACTTCTTGTTTTAAAAAGTAAATCTCATGCGTCTTAATATTACCATCTAAACGACAAAATTATAATTTTCCCTGCAGTACATAACTAAAATAAAGTATTATTGCCATCCCTATCCCTTTTGTCCGCGGAATTTGTGGAAGTCGTCAAATAGCTGAGTAAAAGAGAAACTGAGTGTCGATATATCGCTATACCAAATAAGTGTTTCTGTAATCATGCTATAAGCGCTAATATTAAAATCTAAAATGCAGTTATATAGTTTAAAATATAATACCATCTAATTATTAAACTAAAAACTAGAACCACCAACGACTTATCACCTTCACAATATAAATGTCATACCAATTAGTATTTTCTAATTTTTCATATTATTTGTATTATTTAACCAATTTGTATTACCGTTACTTTCAGTTATTTATTTAAATAATAAGTTAGTGATTCGTTAAAGTCAAACTAAGTCCATGCTTTTACTTGACATTTATATAACAACTATCTAGACACAATCACAAAATTAATTAAATTGTGTATAACAAAACATCGTTAGAAAGCAAAGTAACCTTTATTTTAATAATATAAGGCGGATATACATTCTACTTTATGTCACCTATAATATTGATTTCACAAAGCGTTCGTTTGTATTCGAATGTAGTGCCGTCAATGGATTATTAACGAACACTTATTCGCAATCTAACGCTAATGCAATGCAATGCAATGGTAAAAAAGATCAAACTAAAGGTAAATTCGACAAAGTAACGAAAATGTTACCTATTTAGCGAATTTTAATACCATGGTGGGACGGATTCGTTAAACATAAAAGCAAGGACAACAGGTTTCTCCTCAATCTAATAGAGCATGACAAGGATACGCTGTTGTCACATATAATTTTAACATTAGAGAACCACACCAGAATCGGTCCCATAATCACAATGATGCACATCGATCCTACTAACATTATAAACGTGAAAATTTCTTCTCAATCACTCAAAAACTACTAAACTAAACTTTGGTACGCATATAGTTTATGACCTGGAATGAGACAGGATACTTTTTCGGAATAAGTCGCAGGCGACCGCTAGTACTTTATAATTGCACTATTTGATTATAATCTAATGGTTCCTACCTACTTATTATGTTGACAACGCATACCCACTGCAATTTTAAAACCGATTACTTTGCCTTCCATCTCATCTTGTTACACAACAACACATTTAAGTAAATACTCACTCAATCTCCGGCGAGCTAGGCAAGTTTCCAGGCATGGACGGTTCAGAGATCTTCTTCTGCACTTGCCCGGGTCGAGCCTTATCAGCTGGTACGGAAATACTGCGGCTGTAGTCCATACTGCCCGCTAGACGATTGGTCTGCTTCTTCTTTCTACATTAAATTACATATTTATTTTTAACTGGTTTAAAATGAATTTTTATGCTTATTCACACAACTCGACGTTTCGCATCCATTTCAGAATGCATTATCTAAGAGTATAAATCCTGTCCTCGTAGCATGAGTAACACAATTTACATTATATCACGTATTTTATCGCGTCTAACTGTCAAACTCCATAGTAATTTGACAATTGAGCGTGATAAAAACAGTTTTATATATCATATCGCGGTGCTCATGCTAGGGGTGAAAAGGATGTGAAACGTCGAGTTATGTAAAAAAGCATTAAAAACGCATGGAATAGGGAGATTGGACCATGACCCACCACGCGGGTCCAGTGCGGATCTCCTTATTCCATCCATAGGGAAGGCCTGCGCCCCAGCAGTGGGGACATTAATAGGATTAATGATGATGTTAACTACTTTTTACTTACTCGCATAAGAAAGCATCTTCTAGTAGCTCAGCAGCTGTGGCACGTTTTTCTGGATCGGGTATGAAGCAACGAAGAATAAAGCTTTTAGCTTTCTGCGATAGCTCGTTTGGTATCTCCGGATGAGTTTTGTAGTATCCGACCTATAATTTATATATCATAAATTTATTTAATCAAAACCAACATTCTGTACGAAACTACATTTAAACACGTAGAAACTGTTTTAAAACCCAGTACTTACTAAATAACATTTTAATTTAATTTATAATTATTAATTAAACTATCAAAATTTTAAAATTAAAATAGATTGTGTGAAGAATTTGTAAATAATGCCGACACTTCACTTGGCTATTCGTGTTTAGTATTTGTAAACTTCACATCAGCCTGTCCTTCTCACTCCTTATAAAGAGTGAAAAGGACAGACTCTTGTCAAGTTTCCAAATAGCCAATGAAGAGCAATCCATTTGCCAAATAATAAATATTAAGGAAAATCAGTTTAAAAAAGTATATAATACAAAATTTATTACCTTGAATAATGCTGCTTGCGGCGATCCCAGTTCGATGAATGGTGGATTTCCAGTTGCCATTTCAACTACAGTACAGCCCAAAGACCAAATGTCAGCCTGAAAACAATACAGTATTGCAAAATTATTTTTTACGGCTTTTTTCTTTTGTTGCTTTATCGCTAATGACAACGCTCTTTCGTTTTGCACTCAGAACATGAATTAAAGCATAGAGAGTTTAAATTCAACTCATAAAGTCCACTCATATAGTTATCTTATTTTTACATATAGACCAGAAAAAGAGACAAATACATGTTGCTTGCTATGAACAGCGTGCTTAACACTAAACCTCAAGTTGGTTTCATATATAACACCGAATTATAAATAGATCTAATGTCAAATGCAACCTACTAACGTGTCACTTAACACTTTTTGGTTGGGTAATACGTATAGTCTATGCGGAATTGTACGCTTAAACGTCAATTGCCTTTCTTCTATGCTTTAGTTCTTGTTCTGTAGCTGATGACTGTTTTAAATCGGCGTGTTCAAATTACTGACCAAGGTTAAAAAAAATGAATTCATGCAATCGTTTAAATAAAACACAACTCGAATACCAAAACCAGCATTAGACAGGTAGAAAAACGCTCACGCTTCGGAATTACTTAATATTAAAGTTAAAAGTCAGTATCAAATTGGTCAAAAGTAGCTAGTATTACTATGCTTTCATCATTACACATACTTCCACCAAAAGAAACTCAACTAAACTCTTTTTAAGATTTTTAAACAAAGCAAATTAATTCTTAAAAATAAACACAAATATTAAATTTCAAATTGAGCAATACTCACGGGAGCTCCATAACCTCTTTGTCCTTTATCAATCACTTCTGGTGCCATATACTGCAGGGTTCCAGCGAAAGTCTCAGTCGAAGGACAAAGTCCCGCTAACCGCTTCGAAGTACCGAAATCCGATATCTTAACAACACCACTGTATGTGTTGACTAAAACGTTGTCGCCTTTGATATCGCGATGTACGATTTTCTGGTCATGCAGGTATTTTAAACCTTAAAATAAAGGTGTTTGGTTGAATTCAGCAGGAATAAAAAAATAAATATAGAGACATTAGCAGAACCTACTAAAATGTAAATGAAAGTAAGTTTACTCATCATAAAAATACTAACACAAATATATTTTTACTAGTGTATAATGATATTTGATTGCAGTATTCTTTAAAATTAAGGATAGGTACTTAATTAGTAACGAGTAAATTCTTGTTACCTTCTAATATTTGTTTGGTGTAATATGCAATTGTAGCCTCATTTTCCTTCAGTGGTCCCCATTTGGACCTTAGTAAAGCCGACAGCGACCCTCCAGGTACTTGTTCCATGAAGATTTTGAAATAATTATCTTCAGAAATAGACCCAAGGTACTGCAAAAGTTATAAATAGTAGCATTAGAAATAAAAAGTTAACATTGAGATTCACAGTAGTTCGAGTTTTTACCGATAGATGGCGTTATTTTAATAAAAATGGAAACTACACGTTAGACTATATTAAGAATGTTTCAATATCTATTATAAACTTTATTGCGTTTACTTTGAACCAAGCACATAACAACACTATAACTTATATACTAATTATATTTCCACATCTCTGCTATTTTCTTTTCACACGAAAGAAAGACAGAAAAAGGGCAATGGAGAAAGCTTAGAACCGAGCCTTTAAATGACACCTTTGAACAGGTAAAACAGTGTGTATATATTTAATTTAGACATTTCGGGTCCTTTGCCTATAATAATAAGAGGTTTGTTTAACATACCTGTACTATGTTTCTATGCCTCAGCTGTGAATGCAACATGATCTCTTCATGTAATGGCTGTACATCTCCCAGGTTCTTCTCAGGTATCTCTTTGACCGCTATTCTCACTTGAGTGTTGAGATCTCTTGCGGCGTAAACCACACCGTAGGTGCCTTTACCGAGTACGACACGCTTGTTACAATCGTCTAGCTCATATTCAAACTGAAATATCAAGATAAAACACATGACTGAAAGAGGACTTTAATACTTCACACGTAAGATTAAAAATACCTTGCGAAAATATAAGTTATTTTTTTATAGCTCGGATGAAAGTATGATTAATGAATTTAAATATTTCCGATATATTCATTTTATGATGATTAATTATCCGGAATTATAATTAAACAATGTATTATCTATAATCTACTAAAATCGAGCAATATTAATAACGATTAATAAGATATAATGTTACATAGATAATCGAGTAAAGGGAATTCCGATATTTTCTTTGAATTTAAATGATAATTTTAAAAGCAGTAACAATATGAGGAAAAAAAACAGCCATTATCCAGGGTAAACAACAAATTTTCCCTGTAATAACTTTAGGAACTACCCGGTGAATTAATACTTTCATTTACTACCTAGAACATAGAGTAAACTTAATGATTAAGCGCACTCTGTTTTACTTCATGTTTTGCTGCGTCCGCAGTTCACACACTACATTCCGTATTCCGTACTCAACAATAATATTCATGGGGAAAATACTTCATCTTCGGTCTACGTCCAATTGCATACATCACCAAGAAGTTCTATAGGAACTGGTATCACGATAAATAGCACAAACCCAAAATGCAACGGTTTTGTATTTCAGTGGCAATTTTTTTTATACATAATTATGATTGATTTATTTAATAATTCAATCAGTCTGTGATTTGGATACATAAGTACATCGCGATATCCCGAATAATAGGAGTTATCGCTAAGAGCGCAGCATTCCAAATATGTCAAGATTGTATGATGATGTTATCAATTCTTATCACTCGGTTGACGAGAGATCGCTTTGGAGATGCATGAATTGTGTTATCGAATTACGTAATTGCGCATAAGTGATAGCGATAAAATGAACGTTAATTTGTACTCTTTATCAGTATACATCACTTACTATGTTAATAACTTTAACGTGCGTATACTTTGATAAAATCATCACTGATAGAATCTTTGTCAATTTAAAAATCGAGCTGTAGGTGTACTTTTCAATATTTAGATACTAAGACTAGATAAGCCGTGTTTTGTTCATGTCACTGCCACACAATGCCATTTGTCATTCAATAGACAGAGACAAAACATAGTGTAACTAATCCAAGCACAGTCTCTGTTTATTAATAAGTGGGTTAAAGTTTATTTTTTGCATGAGGTTTAGTCGAGTCGACTTGGCCAAAACACAAGCTTGTTTAAATAGCGGTGATATATAATTTAGTCAATACTTACAAAAATTTTGCATATAACATATTCAGCTTCGACTAAATGGAAAATGGATGCTGTCTAGTAACCGTAGATATTTACAATCTCATCATTTACAAAGTGAGCTGTCATCAACCTGATTTATTGTTCTTTTTACGCGAAAAGGGTCGCAAACTAACATTATTTTCCACTTAAAGATAAGAGGTTAACATAGCCTACAGATGCTTGTCATATTGAGAAGTATCATTTGTCCGTTGTATACATCAACAGCCTGTCTAGATAAAAGCGATTTAAATGACTTTTGTACTTCATAGCGCAATCATAAGAACGAGCATAGTGCTCTTCAACTCTGATAACCAACCCCTATATTTGGTTTGGGATTCTTATGGATTTGTTCAAAAAAGTCATGAAGAAATTTTTATTGGGTCGGCCTCCGTGGCCGAGTGGTTTGTACGCCGGGTTTCAAGGTGTCGCCTACTCGGAAGGTCTCGGGTTCGAATCCCGGTAGGGGCAGATGTTTGTGTGATGAATACGAGCATTTGTACTCCAGACAATGTTTTATATGTATTTCTATATAAATATACTTATATATGTACAGTATATGTATTCTATCCGTTACCCCAGTATCCTATAACACAAGCCTTACAGTGCTTACTTTGGGGCTAGGGTAATTGGTGTGTGTTGGAAATATTTATTTATTATTTTATTTTACTTTTTTCATTTTTTTAAAAATGACCGCGTAACTTTCAAATAATTAGTACACTACATAAATGTTAGGTCTTGAGCTACTTTTTTTTATAACATATGGAAGGCAAATAAAGGTCGTACCTCATTTACACGGCTGCTCCAACACTGCCCTGAACTCAGGCGACAGCTGGCTGTCAGCGAATTACTTAGAAGTTTTTACGAGAATGGCCTACTAGCAGTCAGCGCGTGGAGACCGCGCAGCGGGTCAATTATGCTTTAGTGATATAATCCTAATGAGATGTCAATATGATGTTGATGCCAAGTTGACATTGTTTTTAAATTGTATTAAGAAACATTCCTACGTCACATCAAAATCATATCAATATCATAGCCTGTATCACATTTTTGACGTTTATGCGATACTGTTTAAAGTCAAAACGTTGAACGTAATACGCTTTAAGTTGATATCAAGTTGATATCATTTTAAAGAGTTGATCATAATACGCATAAGTTGATGTCATTTTAATATCTCATTTTTCGGAGAGCATAATACGTAATGTGAAATTGACATTAAAACAATATCACAATTAGCGAGCATAATTGGCCTGCAGAACGCTTGGTAAGCGAGGCGTCAACTACCGAGTAGTCTGACGGAGAGCTGACTTTTTATTTCCGTTGCCAACATAAAGTAATATATAAATAAATATTTTCAACACTAACACCAACTAGCCTGTCCTAGCTTTGTGTAACGGATAGAATGTTTAATCTTCTACTTATATAATATACACATAGGAAAATTGGTGTCAAATGTCAACTTTTAAGTACATAAGTTCAGATCTATGTAGTTAAGCTGTGGACTGATCTCATCTTTACTTTTACTAACCTTTAATTGGTCTTGCATCACACTGGTATCAATTTCGGTGACTTTCTCGAAGTCCGCCGTCAATTCGCCCAGAAGGTCGTGCAGTCGTTGCCTACAAGCTTGCGACGGAAGGAAGATTTGAAAGTCGTCCGAATTCTCGCTAACGTACAAGAACAGGCAACGCTCGTCACGTTTGTACAGACTGAAAGAAAATACAAAAAATGCACTAGGGACAGTATATATATATATATAAGTATTATATAACATTTTATTCAGTTTACACCTTAACAAGCACATTATGAGAGTCCAAAAGCTACGGCGGAAGAGTTAATAATGAGAACAACCAGCAAGAACCTCAGCAAGGTCTGTTTTTTCTCCCTGTTCTATCTGTTTATTTAATACAAATCGTAAGGTGAAAAACAAATTCAATAAAAAATAAGATAAAGTCACTTCTTATTTCAAATATAACATATAAGAACCTCCAAAAACTCTTGAGCATAAGCCATGGAAAACGAATCCTGCGCAGTAGCCATTTTACATACGAAAACGTAATATGCGCGGGGTTATCTTTCTGTGGTTTTGCTTGCGAGAAGTTTGCTGCTACCCATAGCATAAATATTATTAGCATAGAAAATATAGAAAAGAATTATCTTGACCAGTTTTCACAAACCCCTGAAGCGAACCAAAACAAAAATATCTGTTTTAATTACTAAGCATCAAATCAACGACGCGATGTTTTAAATTATAATGACGTCGCAAAGTCTTCAATGTGGCCAATACATTTCGTCGTTGAAGCAAGTCAAAGGTTTTTACGAGCCTTCTCACGGTATTGTGGTCATATTCGTGGTCACATCGGCATTGCCATTAAATATTAAACTTTCGTCTATCTGTTCGTTTTGTACCTGTAGGTCCTGATCATGTCAGAAGTGAACAGCCACCGATGAACCTTCCTACACGTGCCTTTCTTAGAATCACAATCTAAGCATAAGTTGAGAATCTCCACGGATTTTTCTTCCGCTCCCATATTCACATTCACGTATGAGGGCACGTAGACTTTATTTGTTTCCAATATTAACACCTGAAAAATGTCATTACTTTTACATTTAACAATATGGAACTTCGAGGTATAAATTGATAATTACACAGCGATTGTATGGTGATGCGCTCGTTTGCAACTATGCCCAGTTTTCAGTTCAAACATCACCCTACATATCGTTTGCTGCACTGCGAATAGGCTGACTCATGTCAAATTGCACTATAGAAATGTTTATTTCTTATAATGTTTGGTATGAGGAACCTAAATGCATAGATTTCACTTCATAAAATTAGAAGATGGCTGTAGTAATTTAATATGAACAATGGTGTTTTAGTCTTTGCTTTTTAAACACTCAAAACGCTGTCCACCATGATTGTGACGTCAACAAAATAGCAAATTTGTTAGTAAACAACTAAACGTCATTGTCGTGTTACTGTGGTGTCTTTCGTCGGACTAAAATATATCTAAAAACTCTTACATCTTGTAGAAAATTTTCCGTTAATTGGTTTTGTTCACTAAATTAATGCTGGACGCCAGATTTGTGAAAGCAGAAACGACAAAACTCTTTGACTTAGTAGGTACATTCATAACCTTAAAAACTGTATTTTAAAACTTTAAATATTATTCAATGAGTACTCACATTAAAGTGATCTTTGCTAAAAGAAAAGACTTTCAGACGGTAAAATTACAGGATTCAGCGAGTTTTAAACATAACTGTGTTCATAAGTATTTCGCTACGCAATTTAAACCACAACTTTTCTGGAGAATTTAACGACGTGTTTCTACATTCTCGTATAATACAATCATGATATATATTATATTTATCATGAAATCTATTAGAAATCATTGTTTTATAATATTAATTTTGATTCAGGTTATTTCCTACGTGCTTCCGAATGTTTGTTTACGATTTTGTTGACGTCATAGCATAGATAATATATAGACTAAAATGGCCGACAGCGTTTGTGTATGTCTATGAAAAATCTATTTTAAAATTAAATACAATAATACATGTTTTTGGGTCTAATAGAACAATTATTAACCATTTAAAACACATTTCCAAAAAGTGTCAAGTAGCCTATTGCGCTAACTACATAGTCGCCATTAGTTATTATTATACTTTGAATCACACTCTTTGATAATTTATACGCTTACGATAGAGCAATCCAAATAAATTACGCAAAGAAAACGGATCATGTTTCGCGCAACGTGTGCTTGACTCTTATGTCAGATTGTACTAAAGCAGTCAATGTGTACGTGTGTAGCGACGAGCATAATTATCTACCATATGTAGTAGATATTTTCTGTGCCGTTTCCATGCAGTTAATACAGTATCTAGGTTAACACAGTATATATAATCGAAGATCACACTATATTAGGTCAATATCAGACCAGGATACTGGCCAGGAATTTTCCAGAAATAATCCCAGTTTGCGCAAGGGTATCGCATTCAAAAACCACAAACTTACCGGAAACCGAATGATATTATCGCAAGCGCTTTTAGTTGCCTCTAGGAAGTACTCCATCCAGAATGAGAATACCTTCTGCTCTGGTGTTATTTCTTCGTTCTTTTTTCTGAATCTGTAGAAAAATATTTGCCATCACCCCTTTAGTGAGCATTTGAGTAGATGTAAGTTTTAGAAAATAAATCTGTCATCGAATAGGAATCAAAACACTTAGCAAATGCTGCTTATTTAAAATACATTGTGTACCCTTGAATAAAGTTATTATAAGACAAAATCACTATTTTAAAGGAGTAACTAACATATTAGTCAACGAATTAGAAATAATATGGAATACAAACTTCGCTTAAAAGTGGTTCCACGCAAACTGCAATCAAGTAGGCGGGGCGAAAAAAATGTGATCAACACGACGATCATGGGATTGGTTGGGATTACCGTTTAACGTTATCTTACCCATTCAATGGATAGCCGAATTCATTTGCAGATATTTGATTTGTATTTGGTTTTATCTGATGCGTAATAGATGAGTTTGGAACTATGTTTTAGTGGCCCTTGTTTGGTGATTAATGCCTCCATATCATTTGTAATACGTTGATATTAGTATATATCTATAATATAAATATTATTATCAACAAAGCTAATCACCTGTCAATCAATTCAATGTTCCCGATTGTAGATTTCAAATACCAATTCGGCGGTTTCAATTTGAACATGCACTCGGCTGCTTGTATCGCTTTCACGTAATCTTGTGCCAGTACTGATATTTCAAAAAACGTCGCCACATCCCAATAGTCTTTCAACGATGATAAGCTGCCTTTTTTACCTATTAAATGATTTAACACCATACCTACAAAAATATGGATACAATTTATTAATGATCAACAAAAAATTAAAGACTGTTAAATCTAAACAATCATATTACATAAAAAAAATTAGACTTGCACTGGTTTTATTGTGAGTGTAAGAATGTATGATAATACCATAAATTTATAATTTGACTCAGATTTGCAGTACAGTAAGTACAGTGATAGCTTAAATAATGCCTAAATTTAATGGCTACATACAAGACAAAATATGCACCTTAAAATTATATGTATTTTTATAAACAGATAAACAGCAGGTAAATCAAATTGTGAACTACTAAACAATTTTTTCTAATCAAAATTTTCCTAGAAAAAATAGTCATCGCCATCATCCTTTAAATTTGATAGGACGATAATGATAATAAAACTATATTATTATACATAAGTTAATTATTTACCTATATGTTGTAGTTCTTGTGAATTTTTGAAGTCGTTTCCAGCTATAACTAGTAGTGTTGCCAAGTTGATGCCGGCATACTCATTTGGTTGCACTTCGAAACCCTGTCTGTACCTGGGTACCAAAACATCTTCGTCAGACATTGTCAGTACTCACTTTATGTCGTTTTTTTCGGACATAATAATATTATTTTTTATCTTAAAAATATCAAGAAAAAACCCATTCAGGATAAGTATTAGACTGGGATTGAACCAAAGTCCCCTGCTATCTGGGCGAAGGTACTAACTACTGCTATGTTATCGAGACTTGATAACCATTGTCGATTTTTCTAGTATCTCTTACATTGAGTTAGTGGTTGCTTGCAGTGTGATGAAACGACACTGCCTTGCAGCCACGTGAAAATATACTAGAAGAAATTTGATATTTTTTTCTCGTAAAAACTTTATTGTTATTATTATGTTGGTACGCTTTTTAGCCATGACTTCACGGGAACCCAGTCCTTTGAGGCATTCATGGGGTCAAAGCCAACATAAAAAGTGACATGATTATTGTAAAAAACTGTCTATCAAATGTAGCAGAGTACCTTGTCAGATATATTTACTAAACATAAACATATAATGATGCCCTCACCAATGAATAGCACTGTTCAAGCTCTCCGTGTCCGAGTGCTGAGATTCAACGAACTTATCCTTATAGATTCGGCCACAGAGACAAAGCATGTCAGGGAACCTGTTCTCTTTCTTCTCTAAAGCTTTCACGCAAACTCTTAAAGCATTTTCCCTGTCACCTTCCTTGTTCCGCCTTAAATCATAATTTCAATATTAGGATATAACTGAACTGACTTGATCAGTATTTAAATAGCAATAAGTTTTGTCTAAACATTGAATATCAAAATAAAATAAAATTCCCACACAAGAGATAGCGCTAAAATAAAAATTAATATCAGTCTCGTAGGTACATATTTACTTGAGTATTACAATCTGTTACTTAAATCAAAGGGAATAGAGTTGTTGCCTCATTTTTATTTAGCATATTATACCTGACTAAATCCACTCCGAAATACATTGCTTATGAAAACTTAATAAATCTGATGGAGAAGGAAAATATCAAAGACAGAACAGGAACGGAATTATAAAATGAAGTAATTTCCATACACGTTACAAGAACGAAGCAGATAGCAAGATGATCCCTTTCGACCACCTAGCCTCAATTTTAGTTAAAAATATTAAATTGTATTTTGTGACAGATTTAAATTATATTTTCACAAAAGGTTTTTTTAGTAATATACTCTGATGTGTGGAACAAATTCAATCTAAGGCAACTACGCTATTCTCAAAAGTGTATCAAAAGCCACTTACCTGTTCATAGCGAACGCATACATAAACCTAATAATCGGCATATTTACATAATTCTTCCTATTCATTATCGTCTTCAGATCATCCACCACTTGCACTATGGCGTCGTAGTCCTGTATTTCGCGGTAGGATATGAGCATGTTCAGTATTGTGTCACCGGAGAGTACGGCCGGATCGTCTAACCGGCGTCGCATTGCGTGTAACACGTTCGCTAGTTCTTGGCCGCTGTATATCTCCCGGGCTTTGCGAAGGTCTGATAGGAATTTTTCTTGGAGATGAGCCCTAAAAATATGTCCAATCACTTCTTAACTATACGTACAAAAACATTATGAAAGGATAATTAGGTCCGTTTAAGAAATGAGCAAATGTTGACATGCATTCATACAATTGATGGCATTCATTGCTATGCAGAAGACAGCACAGGTGAATACATGAATGAGCCTTATACATGAATATACCAGCCTCGCCAATAATTCGAGAGAAAACGTATCGAGATCCGGAACAAACCTTATCTAGTCCAATTTAATCCCACGAAGACACAGGTATGCGCGTTTACCGCAAAAAAATACCTACCATTTGTCGTATCTCCTCCTTTTGAGAAAACTAGTATCGGTATTATTGGCGTTTACATATCAAGCGACATCCAGTTTCGAGTTCATTTTGAGGGCAATACCAAATTATCCTCCTAGAAGCTTGGTTTGCTCAATAAACCGAGAAGGTACTCATACCGGCCCACCACTTGCAACTTTATAAAGCACAAGTTGTGCCACACATGGAGTTCTGTTCTCTGTTCTTTTATACATGTCAAGGGAAAAGAGTGCTTTGCGAACTAAGCTTTGTGTGAACCGGATATCCGGCATAGAGCTCTCACACTGCGGGATGATCGGCGGCGGTGTGTATCCTCAATCATTCAGATTCAAATTAGATGCAAAGAGTGAGCATAAAAGTTCCGCTTTTTCGATTAGCCATCAATTTGTGTGCAGATGTGGGAGGGATGGCTTTCAGAAGTTACCGTCAACAGCCTTGGCAAAAGATCAAAACGCGCGAGGAACAGAAGGAAGTTTAATTAATCATTCACTAATGCTGCTAATGTGCTCCGACTTCGCCCTAGCAATCACTCTTTTGGAAGACCTGAGGCTGAGTTATATTTTTTTTGAGGTCGCAAGTATGCTAGCCTGCAAAAATAAGTATCACACTTTTAAACCTGTAATAACTTTTTAAGCACACAAGATATACTTTCGAAATAACAAGGACTGGAAAAAGATTTTAATTTTGTATATAAGTTTCAAAAAAAGCTGATAAAATTTGCTATAAAACGTTTTTTTTATTTGGAATCTCTAACTTCTGTAATTTGGTAAAAATTAAAAATGTGATACTTAGTTTTGCAGATCAGTGTAGTTTACCAAACAAAGGTTGGAATTTGCCAGCAATGGGAACCACTAAGGAAGGAATAAAAAGTTCCATACCCTGGAGGACAACATCTCGGAGACAGAATCAGCAAACGACGTTGGGATCATTATGCGAGAAGCAAACCCGACCCCCAAAGGTAAGACCCAAAAAAGTACTCATCCCATCCCAATCTGCAAACTTATAGTGCCATACATGGCGACAGCGAGCAAATTGCGGCCGCTGTGAGTAGATGAGTGGCGCCTTACTCCGGATTATACAATGCACAGTGTGGTATTTGGCCTCAAAACCTGGCCAAAAATGGAAATTTAAATTTTCTGTAAACTATTGAGTATTGTACACCATCAAAAAGTTAATGAGTTACTGCATCCAATAGCGAAACAGGTAAAGCTCTAGCTTAACTCTGCGTTTCGTGCGATCAGTCGGAAGCTACAGCTCGCTTACGCCTGACGTGTGATTTTTCGATTCGCTCTTATTTCATTGTTCTCAAAGCTCTTTTTTGTAAAGACCTAAATATTTGGTACAAACATCTTCTTAAATGTTATTCGTTTTTATTGTTATCAGGACCTTCTGGCGTGAAGACTATGACTTGAAATGAGTTGTATGACATCGCCCAACGTGCCAATGAACACACTTTTGAAGGAAAGTTAATGTTTATGGAGTAAGAATTATTGAAAGGTTATTCTCAAGATGATCCGAGAATAGCTGATATAAAGAACAGAATCTCAATAATTAAACATGATTTTAAACGAAAATGGTTGGCTGCGCACAAAATCAAAAAGAGGTTAGGAGGTAGGAAATAATACCACGTGGCTCAAGAGCACTATAACTTTACCGAGCGCAGGTACGTGCAGCACAATAGATGCGATCCTTTGTTATTGTTTTTATTATAATAGTGCCGAAAGAGTTCAAAGACAACTAAATTGACGTTGTTGTATATTCCCTTTTGTATGATTTCATTTATGGTGTGCTATAAATAATATTTATCTATATGTATAAAAACATTTTTATTATTTCTTTGTTGTAGGAGTCAGTCCTGGGCACCCTCAGAAGTAATTTGAAGACTCAAGTGAAAGAAGTAAAAGACGAAGAACTGAAGACCTCAGGTCTAAAGACGTTGTGGAATTGACATATGCAACACAAATGAAATTGCGTCATGTAGGCAAAATCGCAGCTTCCAAAGTTGTTAAAGATTTATCGAAAAGTCCTCAAAGGGCAAAGAAATATGTAAAGGCTTTTAAGAAAAGTACTGAAAAACAAGACCAGCCTCGTCAATAATCACCTTTACAAGCATTGTCAATGTTCACAGAAGCCGAATTAACTAAAGCTCAATATGAAAGAGTACGTGAAACAAATCCATTTTTTTCCCCGTGCTATTCTGTTCTCCAAAAAGTGAAAAAAAAAACCTATCCGGAAATTCATCGTGTGACCGAAACATGTACTGAAGTACTAGTTCAGAATTTGATGGATTACACAGCATCATGACCCATACAACATCTCGGAGAAGCTGTAGAAGGTTTGAACGAAGAAGAAAAATTATTATAATTATTCATTAATATTAATAAGCAAGTGGGGCTGTGATGGATCACAATAAGTACAGTATAAAATGAAATTTGATTGTGAAGATGATTCTGATGCTTATATATTCCAAACCTCTGTAGTTCCAATTAATTTATAGCTCAGAAAAAAAATCTGTGGCAAAACCCAACGCCATCTTCACCACTCTATTGTCGGCCTATAAGAATACGTTTCGTTAAGGAGACAACTGACGTCACAAAGGAGGAAATAAACTACATACAGTCACAAATATCAGCACTTTCTAGCACAAATATAAATGACACCTCTATTAAACACAGATTGTTATTTACGATGGTGGATGGCAAGGTATGCAATGCAGCAACGCATACGAAATTAACAATGAGGTGCTTGCTACATATGCGATGCCACTGTGTCGGAATTCAACGACTTGTCAAAAGAGAGGCCTTGCAAAAAAGAAAACTTCAGCTTTGCGCTATCTTTGTTACACGCCAGAATTAGATTTTTTGAATCTGTTTTGCACATAGCATATAAGTTAGCCGTGAATAAATGGAATGTCCGCCTTTCTACCCAAGAAAAACAAATAGTGGAATACAGAAAAAAGACATCCAAAACAAATTTAAAGAAAAACTAGGACTTTTAGTGGACATGCCAAAAGCAAATTTCGGAAATACCAATGACGGAAATACAAGTCGAAGGTTTTTCGAAGAATACGAAATTTCAGCAAAAATAACAGGAATTAATAGAGACCTAATTTATGGACTTAAAGTCATTCTAGATTCTCTATGTTCTGGATTAAAAATAAATATTGAAAGATTCGAAAAATACTGCCAGGAAACAGCTGAACTATATGTGTCACTGTATAGATTTTACCCTATGTCCCCTACTTTACACAAAGTACTTCGACATGGAACGGCTGTCATTAAAGAGTCCATACTGCCAATTGGTCAACTATCCGAGGAAGCAGCGGAAGCTCGCAACAAAAACATCCGATCCTATAATAGATTAAACTTCTCGAGAAAATTTTCCCGAATTGAGTGTAATATGGACGTCTTAAACCGACTCTTATTGACCTCTGACACAGAATATATACACTACGCGAAAAGAAGCGACACTTAAGCATGTGTGCTCGTAAAATCGCCCGCGGCTATGTGTGGGTGTCTGGAGGTGCGCGGGGGCGTTGCGCGGCGCGCGGGACGTGGAGAGGGCAGTCGCCGACTGCCGAGACCGAAGGGATGGCAGTAGCGAAATAGTAAAATAATAGCGTTGCACTACATTGCACGCACAGACTGACTACGCTACGCAATGTTATTATTATTTAGATAATAATAAGAATTATAAAACGAATCGAAAAAGGAGAAAATATATAAAAGTTAGCAATTTGTTATAGTACCTACATTAAATGATTAAAAATTGATTATAAAATCAAACCTATCCTTCATTATTTACCCCAGTATTCTTGAATCAGTTTACATTTAATAACTTACTATGCATAAATATTCATTGGCACAAGTCTAAATTCCAAGTTCAACCCTAGCGCATACACGCTCCTGCTCAAGGTCACTGACGCTGGAACTCTCACGTACAGGGAGTGTCACCGCTGTGCCTCTGATTCATTAATTACTAGAATGAGAGGACCCTTCAGTAGAAAAAAGAAGCAATTATCAACCGATATTCTTAATTTAGTTTGCGAAAGCGATGTAACCAGTATTAACATTAACGACGATTGTAGTAATGACTAATAAATGGGACTCTAACAAAATAAATTGCTGTTTTAATATACTTTAGTGTTAAATCACCTAGAAACGACTTATTTAATTATTAGAAACAAAAAAATATTTTTGGCCAAGTTTTGAGGGTAAATACCACACTGTGCAATGGTTCGAGGAGCCAAGACGGGCATATATAGATTGTAACTTTCCGGATGTGAAGTTAGCAGAAGCTCCAAAAGAGAAGGAATATGGTCTTCGACATCTGAGATTCTCGTAGGCGAAATGACTAATTGTATCGATGGAAAAGCTTTTTCATATTCATTCTGGTTTGGGTATTAATAATAGTGCCTTGCCTTGTTGTTTTCGACGTCCAGTCTATAATGATAGATTTTCAATTTGAGATTAGCCCCATAGCTATACTTCATAGGATAAATCTTAAAATAATGACAAACTCTAACCACAAACTGAATGTAAGGTATATTTCATAAAAGAAGCTGTGATGTGTGTTTCTGTTTATATTATTATGAGGCAGAATAATGCGTGATGTTTATTATTAACATAATTACAAGACTGCCCAAACAAAAGCGTGTAACGTTTTCAGAGTTCATGTATGCATGTTAGTACAGTTCTTTATTCACTACTTACTTAGTCTGAACTTCGACATCCTGCAAAATGTTCTTCAGCCGAAATAACAAGTGATGTTTAGGATCTGCAGACTCTTCCCCTTTGAATTTAGTCGCAGCCGGATTGGTAGTAACACAAGTACCGGCATCCGTCAATTTGTACGACACGAAGAGAAAGTTGGGCAATGACATCTAAAATTAAAAACATTTGTTTAAATGTAGCAGTTAAATGCTTAAAAAATAAAATCTTCAATATACATAGATAAAAATCAAATGTGTTTCTTTTGCCATATCATTACGTTTGTCGCTAAAACTGGAGAACGGCTGGGCCGATTGGGCTGATTTTGGTTTTGAAATCTTTGTGGTAGTCCAGTCCTCGTAGCATGAGCACCACGATTTACATTATATCACGTTATTTATCGCGTTTAACTGTTAAACTGCATAGTAATTTGAAAATTGAGCGTGATAAAAACACGTTATATATCATATCGCGGCGGTCATGCTAGACAGGTAGGGAAGGTGAAAACGGTGAAAAGATATGAAAAAATTCGAGTAAATCAATTGAAAATGAACTTTATTCAAATTTATTATCAAAAGTTCTTTTGAATCGTCCGTATAAAGTGTGCATTCAGACTACGTTAAACCAGCTAAACTATAGCGCTATATAGTATAGCGCGTAAAGCAAGCCCATTAATATGGTGCGCGATGTTGTCAGGCGGAGCTATAAGTATAGCATAGGCTGCAGCAAGGTAAACGGATTAATTAAAATCTGGGCTTAGAGAGTATAAAGTGTAATATAGTTTATATTTAATGGCCTCAATTTTATTACAAAACAAAAACATCTAATTTTTCTTTCTAGGAAGTCATCATATCACTATTAGTAATAAAATGTAGTTTTTGTATTATTTTTAAAATTAATAATTGATATTTATCCAAAGATAAATAACATGATATATATCGTGATAACATAATATATCATGGAACCCTGATAAAAATGTTTAATTATACAAAATACCTACGTCACATTAAATATTCATAGTGAAATAAACACTACCGCGAATTTGGAGTAATGCACGTAAATTCACTAAATATTTATTGTTAAATAATTTGGTATTAGGTACTGCCAATAGTTTGGGATTTCCATAATCTTAACAATAACAACAATTTAGCTAACTTCCTTAATCTGATTACCTGGTAATACATGAATAATAAGTATATCTGTGTCAACACATAGCTATGCTGTAATCACTGTTGACACTGTTTTTTTCAGCACACAATCTAAACATCTTATTAATACAAACATACATACAATATAATCCTTTATTTGCATTAAATACCTATTTGCAATTTTTCTAAGTGACATTGATCTTTAGAGTTTGACCTATTGAGTGTCAACAACATGTGAACTCTGACTGGTTTGAACACATGGCTTTATCCTTCAATGAAGCCATGTTTGTGTGTAATATTTGTGGTAAATCTAGCTCATTCACAAGGAAAACATGAATGAGAATGTATTTAACTTAGATAAAATTGTGATGCAAATGCATAATGTTCTATAAGGTTACATTTTGTTGGTTCTGGAACATGATTCCATGGCATGGGACCATGAGAGTAGAAAAAAATACTAGTGGTCTATAAAACTTTGGACACTGTCAGAATATAATGTGCCCCAGTCAGCAACTTGGTACTTCTAATATTTTAGTTAATGCACCATATCATACTGTTCTTATGTTTTGAAGTAATGGATTATTTACAGAGTAACGACACGATCATGTCACTTTGCAACAATGCCCACATATTGGGGACTCCCGAAAACAAGGTATCCTGTAAGCTAATTACTATAATACCTAGTCATTATTCCAATATTCGCATTTTGTAAAATTTTATTGACTTCGTGTAAAGTATAATCAATGTGACATTGTTTGTTTTTACAAATCTACACTTTTTATTGGCAAGTTGAATAGCTAAATGTAACAGATCATAGGATGCCTAAGGTTTTGACTTTTGATACTCTTACCGATTTGTTCATATTTCATAGATAGGCCAGCCAGATTTTTTAGCTTATGAGGAAGTACTGTGATTCCTTCTCTAAGAAACTATCGTCAGTGTGTGCAATATATTGCACCTGCCATATTTCTTTATTATTTATTAAGACATAATAAAATACTTCAATCAACCCCTGTAGGAATGGTCCACTAAAAAGTTATATTACCTATTCAGTAGTACTCAGCCAAGACAAAGATTTTTATTTTCCTTTATTTAGGAATAAACAAATAAACACACTAAAGTGTGTGAGTGTGTATGTTTGTTACTTCTTCACATTTTAATAAAATTTGGTATGGAGTTAGCTGACACCCTGGATGACAACATAGGTTATGTTTTACTGCGAGAAAAATCCCTAATGAAACCGCGGCTAGTACTATCATAATTTACAATATAATGAGATTTAAGAAAACTATAAAAATAGTTATTTAGTATCAAAAGCATAGTTATGTTCAGGGCAGACAAATGTGTCCTTACTCAATTATCTTTATGTTCCTATTAATTATGAGACAATGTTAATTCCATCAGTTGTTTTTTTTTATTGAAAACTTTTCAACCTTTTATAATAACACAATTTACCTATTCCTCTCATTTTTAAGAAAGTCGTTTTGACTACAATAATAAATTAAATTGGATAAGTTTTATCAGTTAACCTTTGGTGACCATGATAATTAATTGCTTGAGTGACTTTTACTATTTCTTTCTCCGTTAAGACCAAATATGTTTAAATTTCAAAGTAACATATTTCAAACAGATCCTGCTATTTTTTTTTTGGGGAATGACAAAAGTTGCATAGTTAGATGTTATCTTACCTTCAACCTTAGTGTTGAATCAGCATCAATATCATTAAAAAGTAAAACATTTTCTTTCATATCAAAACTCTCTCGCACTCCGAGATGGTAAAGTAGGGAACTCTGCTGGACTTGCAGACTTAAGTCTACCAGAGCTACATCTGCATTGTAGAATGTGTCCAGCACACTTGTCTCGCCAAAGTCCAATTTCTCATACTGTAAGAAACATTTAAACTTCTATACCCAATACAAAGAATAAGTTACAAATAGTTCAATTCACTCTATTCTGTGCATTTCTGTAATTGGATGATGTGAAATAACTAGTCCAAGCTTTTTCTTAATTTATAAACACAGGGTAATTTTTTTATTAATTTGTTTTTAATTGAAGGTTACATATACTTAAAGCAACATTACAAAAGATAACAGTTACTGAAAATTTACAATGCAAAACTGTAAACATAGTGAATTCATAAATGTTTAATTGAATAATGTAAACAACTTGGTAACTAGGTATGATTTGCCAATATGTTTAAAGAATAGATTAATATAATGACCTTCAAAAAACATTAACAAAAGATAGGTAAGACTCACATGTATATGGTGAAGATCAGCGTTCACAAGGTCAGAAGCCAAGCGAACTTCTTCTAAGGCTCTTCTTCTGTGGCTCAAATTTGTTGATTGATGCACGTCCAAAACGCATGCAATATCCATCCGGGGCCGCTGGTTAACGGCCCCTGGCTGCACCGTAGCACTAGAACCATCACTGCCGACACTCTCGCAAATACTCTTCACTTCACCTAAAATTACAGACACTATGTTAGTATTCGATAAAATCAAAGTTCATCACAATAACAAAGTCCTCGTAGTCCACCTGTGTCCTCCAGAGTTGTCGAATTACTACCGGAGCCAAATGTTATCATTTTTGAAAAAGGTCGTTTATTGTCATTTGGACGGTTTATGAACACATTTTTATTTAATTTACGCAGCGCGATTAATAAAAATCTCACAGCAAGTAGACCAGCTAGATTCGTTGCGAACAAACGAGCTTGTTATTTAACTATAGTGTTGTGCTGCCAATCATGGAGCTAAACACGTGCTACAGTTCTTTATGAAAGGATACTGATTGGAAACTGAAAAACTTCATTAACAGTGTATATTATATACATATATTTATTTAGTTTTATTTAAGATGTTAATGTTTTTTCGTGTTGTATGTATTCAACTGTGAACTAGGGATATTCGATATACATCGATGCATCGAAAACATCGATGTTTTAAAAAAACATCGAATTGGTAATAAAGTTTGATCAATAATATTCTCTTTGGTTTGACCTCAGTAAAAAAAAACTTAAGTTTGACCACTAAAATTTTACTGATTACTATTACGAAAGCATCATTATTCCGAATTCTCTGATATGGACCCGATGTTGGCAGCACTGCGCAAGAGTCAGTGCAGTGACAGTAAAAAATATCTACGAGTTTCTATGTTTATAAACATTTGTAGGCAAGTGGGTATTGCCAGGATTGCCGGTGCCCTCCATTGGTGCTTAGAGGTGGCGTGGATTAACGGGCGAGGAGAAATAATCCAATATCAAAGAATAATCACCGATATATTTCACTGTTACAATTTAAGAACAACGCACTCACTTATTCTTGAAATCTAAGTACAATTATAAAGTTAACGTAACGCACAATTATAAAATCAAGACATTCCGCAGAAAGCGTGGCACATGCACCGGGTGCAAACCGATTATGATCGGTGAACACGCGGCGCGGGCGCTATGTGACCAGCCAACTGAGTTACGTCAATCGAGCTGTCACTGAACTGACAGTGACATTCGATTCACTATGATCCATAGTCTATGCCCGTAGATAACTCCAATACAACAACGATAAATACCGAGGCGCCGTCACGGCCATACTGACGTACGCACGTCCCTGTGCGCTTTAATGACGTCGCGGTTCGGATGTCATACCTGAAAAGATGAAAGATTATCTGAGAGACACAGAGCTCGTCCATCTCTGACTTAAATAGTCAACCTATTCTGTTGTATAAAGTCTACGCTGTCTTACACATACTTTCCTCTTGTAAAAATAGACTTGCTACCACACCAATACACACGAGTGAACGATGGCCCGGACGTAGACTCCAATGAGCTAGTCCCTTCATCTTCACTATTTTGTCTTAGCATGGCCCGGACGTGAACTCCTGTGAGCCAGCCCCTTCACGCTATGACACACATGATTATACAAAAGGACTTTGACCACAAGTCAATCTTTTCACACACGAGCAGTACGCAGTCTTACTTACAAGTCTAAACATCTTCCGACTCAGAAGCTGACATAGTTAATGAACTGGCAGTCATGGTGCGGGTACTTGTTACCGAGAGAGTGTCACTTTCATCGTCTGATGAGACAGTGTCCCCATCCTCCCGACCATGAGCCGCCGTCTCGGCCTCGCGATCATTTAGTACACTGGCTATCTCAACCAACCCCTCAAAGCCCCTGGGTACTGCACGCAAACTCTCATGAGAATATTTTAAAGTGCGGTTAGAGCCATCAATGTGCTTGAGTTCGTACCTATCGTTATCTAGGACATTTATTATACGAAAAGGACCTCTAAACTTTCTTTGAAGTTTCGTCTGATTACGCTCACTACATTTGACAAAAACATAATCGCCTTGTGACAAAGGCTTCACTCGTGCCTTGCCTTTATTAAATCGGACTATTTCGTTCTGAGCCGCGCCTTGAATGCTCGTCGATGCCTCTTTCCTAATAGTTTCTAGGTCTAGTCTAGGTTCGTCATTATTCGGGGATATTGCTGCTAAACCTAGTGATTGTGCCCGTATGCCGAACATTAATTCCGTAGGAGTGAATCCCGTTACCCTACAACGAGTGGTGTTAAGGGCCAATTGGACTTCTGGGAGTTCATCCTGCCACGTCTTATGGGGATCATTTTCTATAATAGTTAATAAGCACTTCAAAGTTCGCATTACTCTCTCTACTTGTCCATTGGCTCTACTGGCACCAGTCGCTATAAGGTGGAGTTCTATTCCGTGAGTGCTACAGAATTCTTTAAAATCTGAGCTTATATAACATCTACCCTGGTCTGATATTATTCGCTTTGGAGCACCAAAAAGACAAACAGCTTTTCTTAGTGCCTTAATAGCACACGTAGCATCAAGAGACGGAGTCTGTTCTAAGAGGACGTACTTCGTAAAAGAATCTATTATAACTGAAGCATATTCTTTTCTATCGCTTTTGCCGCTCAGCTTACCAGTTAAGTCTATATGGATGGTGTGCCAGGGTGATGCTACTTTAGGTATTGGGTGTAAACGAACTTGTTGGGCTCCGGAGGGACCTTTCGATGTTTTACAAACGATACATGCATCAACGAACAATCGTACCTGCTTAGCCATTTGAGGAAACCAATACTGCTCATATAGTTTGTCAAGTGTCTTTTCTGCACCTAAATGTTTGATTTCAGTATGAATATGGTTGATCAAAGTCCAAACGAGTGAATTAGGTACAATGGGTAGCCAGCGACTGATTTTATTACGTTCCACCTTTCTGTAGAGAACGTCATTCCTAACATCATAAGTGTGACTGATCGAATCAGGGAGTTCATTATTAAGATGTTTTCTAATAAGATCTTGTATATATGCGTCACGCTTTTGTTCTACGGCCAGCCACCCTTGGTGTAATTCTACAAACTGAACAGATTTGAACGATATTGGAACTAAGGATTCGACGTTGTTTGAAGTGCTTGGTACTGGTTCTGAAAGAGGATTTCGAGATAGGTAGTCAGCGTGTTCCATGCTGCTGCCTTGTTTATGAACAATATCGAAATCGTAAGCTTGTAGAAAAGCCCACCAACGATGTACCCTAGGTGTTAAATCTCTTTTTGACTTTGATGCTTTTAGGGAATTACAATCTGTAAATACAGTAAAGTGCTGACCGTATAAATAATGCCTAAAATTTTCTACTGCACGAACGACTGCCAGAGTTTCTAGCTCGTACGAATGATACCTTGATTCTGTGTCAGTCGTTCGGCGGCTAAAATAAGAGATAACATGGGGACTACCGTTCTTTCTTTGAATAAGAATGGCGCCATAACCGTCGGCACTCGCATCAGTGTGTAATTCTATAGGAAGCTTGCGATCAAATATGGCTAATACATGCTCTGTTGTAAGAATTTTAACTATCCGTTTGTGAATGTTGTCGTGGACGTCTGACCATTGGATTGGCCCTTTTAATTTTGTAAGGGGATATAGAGGTCCCACTAGTCGAGTATAGTTGGGAATAAATCTTCTAAAATAGGAAGCTAATCCAATAAATTGGCGCACTTGAGAAGCGGTTTTGGGTGCAGGAGCATCAGCGAGAGCTTGAACTTTTCGGGGGTTTGGAGTGATCTCCCCGGCTCTAACTACGTATCCGAGGTAGTCGACTTCGTATTTAAGAAACTTGCACTTGCGTATATTAAAAGAGAAACCTGCCTCTGAAAGCGCTTTAAGTGTTAATTCAAGACGAATCAAACCCTCAGGAACATCTTTGGAAAAACAGAGGACATCGTCCATGTATGCTAGTACCACGTCATCCTTAAGGGAACCAAGCGCCTTATTGATACACCGCTGATAAACAGAGGCTGCATTCTTTAAGCCAAACGGCATAGTCAAATATTCGTACTGGCCCTCTGGTGTAACAAAGGCAGTACGCGCGATGCTGTCACCTTCAGGATCTATGGGGATCTGGTGGTACCCAGATGCCATATCTAACGAGGAAAATGTATGAGCTCCGTTCAGTCTGTCGATCTGTTCGTCAATTATAGGTAATGGGTAATGCTCTGGTTTCGTATTAGCGTTAAGTTCCCTATAGTCCACACACATCCTGTCCGTGTTGTCCTTCTTTTTCACTAAGAGGATGGGGCTAGCAAAGGGTGAATTCCTCTCTCTAATGACGCCGGCGTCGAGTAGAGATTTTATTTTTTCACGGACAATATCTTTTTCGGCAGGGGATAGCCTATAGGGACTTCGTTGAACTGTTTTGTTGGGATCTATGGGGTCTATACGCAGCATGCCAGTCTTAACTCTACGATTAGGTATACCGTCAATGAAAAATTCACTAAACTTTTGTAAAATGTTAATGAGCGCTTTTCTATCATCACCTTTTAGATCAGTGTCGATGCCAGAGAAATCGAAATCAATAGCCTCCTCCGAAGGTGCAAGAGTACTTTCAAGCTTAGAAAATTTAATACGGTTACTGTTTATTTCTACTCTGATGCCCTGGTCTAAAAGGTCCCTTCCAATAATTACAGATTCTGAAATTAAATTATCAGGAATGATGTGGAATAAGATATGCACAGAAATATCTTGGATAGTAACTTTACTTAAAATTTGTTTCGTGCAATAAATGCCAGACTTTCCTATTCCTTTTAAGTGAACTACATTGTTGTGCAAAGTACCCAGAAACTTATTTAAAAGTTGTTCGGTTACAAGTGAGCAGGCGGACCCACTGTCGAAAATAAAAGAAACTATCTCACCAGACGATGTCTGCAACTCATCTCGGACTGGCCTTTGGTCACACAGGTACACCTCCTTTACCGTCGAGGTTGAGCTGCCGACGCTCGTCCGCCCTGGACACGCCGAGGCTAGGTGGCCCGGTTGTCCACAAGCGTAACATGTTGTCGACTGCGCCTTCTCACTGAAAGTTCCTCGTGGTCTGTCGCTTGGTCTCTGTGCGGTAGATACTTCTTGTCTTCTTCTGCGACAATCTGCAGCCTTGTGACCCAATATATCTGCACGCCTCTCCAAGGAAACACCGCTTAGGATTCGAAACAGCTGAGCTCTCGTCGATATAACGTGTGAGTTCAATTCGCGGCGTAAAAGGTTATCTTTGAGGCACAAAACAGAAGTTACCAATCCTGCTATCATGTCTTCGGCCATTTCCACTCGCGGGATGCGCTCAATTATGCCCCAAAGACGCATAGCCGCTTCGCACGCAGTTTCTTTTGTGCTTATTTGAAAACGCAAGACGTTATCGAAGTAATCTTGAGGTAGCATTGGTCTCGAGAATTTTGCTAGTAAAATTTCTTTGATAAGCGGCCATTCTAGTTGGCTTACGTCTAACTTAGTTAGACAAGCTGCGGCTCTTCCCTTCAAAGCGTGTGTCAAAACCAATAGCAATTCAGCGCCTTGAAGTCTCTTA